TATCCTTAAGTTGATTTAGTGTAAGGACGAAAATCGAAATCCAATCTTTTCTTGTACCACACGTAAAAATGAACAAAGTATTCCTTCATGGAAAAGATGATTGAAAGCTTTATTGATTTGCTATAACGTACCGAATTGATTAAGATTTTGCGATTTTACTTCAGACCTTAATGCATAAAAGTAGGGTACGTTTGTTTACATCTCTAAGATCTTTATAAACTTGTTACCCACTACTTGTCGCGTACCTTCCCTTTCTTGTTTATAAACTTAAAACTGTTACTCCACGACGTTGGAATCGCGTCCCTTCCATGTTGTTCTTCCTCGGATTAATAATTATCCAAGTTTGATTGACATTAATGTATCTTCGCTTTTATAGCCTATAAGCCTTCCTCGATAAATGCTCTCAGCAACACAAAAAAAATATTTCAATTCGAACCCGTAGTGCCTGAGATCAACACGTTCAAACAAAAAAACAAACTTTTCAGCTTTATATATTACTATAGATATGTACGAATGATTGCCCGAAGTCAAACCCAGAAACACGGGCAGAACGCAAATATATGCAAAAGAATTTGTTACTATTGATTATGATAGGTATTTTAGAATAATATTTCTGAAAAAACCCTTATGGGACAACAACCGACGACATAAATGGCTTATTTGGTTTCAGATTTACACTTTATCGGAAAATATCAAAACGCCTTGACACGACAACATCATTTACAAAGGAACATCAAAATGGCGACGCGACGTCTTCACAGAACGGAAATTAAGGTGATTTCTGTATTTTCGATACACTTATCGGCAGAGTGTGCCTAATATTTAGATATCTAGGTTATGTAACTTTTGTTACCTCCGTGGCTTAAAGTGTATTGTATTAACGGTCCTAAGTTTGAAGCACAAACAGTGTAATAATAAACTCAATCGGTTGAAATGCCGTTTTTTTGGGACATTGGGCACATAGCTGAATCCTTTCCACTGATGATCAGCCTCTTTACCCAGCCCGACCGATATACGAAATAATTCGTGTAGCAAAGAGTCTGTTATCTTAGGGGTCAATTGGCAAAAATGTAATAGACGATATTGGCCCTTTAGAAACTATTAGAAAGACGATTCTGTTTTACGATTTATTTTTTAACAAAAATCTATTCACACGGACGAATTCAACAGGGCCGAGTCAATGATGTTTCTGACAGTCTAGAATTTTTGACAATTGACCCCCTTAGATTACAGACTGTATCTAACAATCTTTATTTTTTTTAGTTATTTTAAAATAATAAATACACTGAAACTGTAACCTCCTAAGAGTTGGCAGTATAATATAAATAGTGTTAGAAATCCTTCTAAGAGTGTCTTCAGACGGATGGCAAACCTTTCGAGAGCAAACATTAGCACACCAATAATAATTTTCATTAAAATCCTCGTCTGTTAATTACCTGCTCCCAGAATGAACTTTATGGATACGAGTTACTGAATGAGACAGTTGTAAATAATCTTCAATGCTGTAAGGGCCTTAATTAATAAAAAAAAAATTTGCACATGGAAAATAAGATCATTTTTTTATAACGCTGTTACATTTTAATTAAATTCTATATTATTAGAATAATATATTTAAGTAATTAGTATTAATATATATATTATTTTTACGAGACACTTATTTGTTTGTTATCAGACGAAGATAGCGGACAGTTTCGGAAGCTTTCTATTTACCCTAACGAGGAGGAGTAATTTATTAGCCTATAAAGTTAAAAAGAAAAGAAGGATAGCTATATTTTACCATTCAATGCACTGTGAATACAATTTTTTTTCTAGGTAATTTTTATTTATTTTGCCACATCCAGATCTATATAACCACATCAACCGAAGATGGCAAGAATTCATTAAAATTTCTCATTTAAAGACGTCGTCCAAGTGGCACAGATGTACTTTACCATTTCACTTCACTTCTATAAACCGAAATATCTTCTAATTTCATTTTGCAGCTCATCCGAAGGAATCTTCTAAACCTTATTATGGAGTATTTCATGTTAGCCAAATATAAACTTGGAAAAGTAGATAAGACTAAGACAGCTATAGTCAATGTGAGAAGGGTTCTTTTTTACTTTAGGTACAAATGTCAACAGTAAACTTAAACATTAACAGAACGTGATAATATAAATGAAACAACTTACTGCTTAGTATATTATTATAACAAATGGTTAATATTTTATTTATTTTACAAATGTCACAAAATAAACGTAGCAAATTATTGATATTCGACCGTCGCGTGTTCAAGTCCAGTGCTAAAGACTTTTTTCAGTTTTATTTAAACAAATTAAATAGTTAGTATTATTATAACAATTTCTCGAAATATTTTTTTGAAAGTTTTTTTGGGTCAAAATTAAAGAAATGTAAAATTATTTTCATTAGCATATTAGGTATATCTAATAAATGTTTGAGAACATTTGATAATCTGCAATTAATTGACCTGGAGAAGGCAGCTAGTAACGAAAAGGGAAAATACTTTTCTCTTCTCAGTCAGGTAGAAATATGAGCATAAAGGAACGAACCCAACTTTAAATAATCGAATGTCAAGAAAATGCAATGCAGCTAAACCTGTTGCACGTCAATGCGATTTCAGTCGAATCAGCATCCATTCACAACAATATATTCATGAATTAATTTTCCAACATTTCTATACAAATATTTCGCAATGCAAACTGATTATTTAGACAATCTTTTTGTATTGTTGTAGCCATTTGTTGTTTCAGGTAGCCGCCATTTTGTTGATGTTATTTCAATTTAAAGATGGCGACTATGGTGACAGAAAGCTTAAATACTAGATTTATAATATACATTTGACAATGTCACGTTAATAAGGATAATGTTACATGACAAGGTATGACAGCTTTTTTAAGTAATGGTAAAACCGAAGAATATAAGCTTTGCCCTGATTTTTAAGTAAAACATGTTAAGGTTTAAAAGCGAATATTTTACACTTATTGAAAATGATTTTAACTCGCCGATTATGCTTTCACAGCTTATCCATACAGTGATGACTTCGGTTAAAAATCTTTATTGTACTCTGAACTATCAGTCAGTAATTAACTGATTATGTCAAAAGATTCATGTACTCTAAATACCTAAAGCTGAATAAATTTTGCCGTTCTTTTAAGAATCTTCTACGTTTTTCTTTTTATCAAATGTCAACCAATATTAATGGCCGGTCCATTTCTTTGATTAAAACGTTGAAACGACAAAGCAGCACTCATATATAGGTATAGTTCTTAGAGTTGTTTCTTAATCATCAGCAGGTACATTTTTGTTTGAAATTAATTTTGTTGTATTTTTTTTCATTTTTATTCCATTTATTAACATACATTATTGCTTATTGTATATAAACCTTTAAAAAAAGGATATTTTTATTATCTACTTCCTATCAATTTTTTCTAATAAAAAAATTTTTACTATAATATTCATTTTGAATATCGACTACGAAAAATTATAATTTAAAATTTAACTGATATGTTTCTTTGCGAAGGTTTTTTTTCAACATAATATGCCTCAAAAATTGCTTCAACTTCCAAGAACAAGCCGAAGCAAAATCATTTAACCAAGATCCGTAAATTACACGAATTCATATCTTCATCCTATAACCATTATGTAAATGCATTTGGAAATTATAAACTCAATCCAACAATATGACGAGGTGTGAATTAATTAGGAACAACAGGATAACTTTATGAATAGCTAAGATTTGCGGGTATTTGCATAATAATACGGTTCGCGATGCATGTGGATCTGTCTTTAATTGAAAATTTCCGTTCGTTCCGAAGAAAGTTTACGTCGGATTGTGCCCTGAATATATAAGAAAGGGTATGTCGATTGGATAACTTTAGAGAGAGAGAGAGAGAGAGAGAAATGCAAGGTGCAATCTACTCTACGGAAAAGAAGGATAAAACTAATTATTTACAACTCATGTCTGGCCCGATAGTTTTGCGACTTTAAATCCACAATCTGAAGCCGAAAATTGGCTCTTCCAAGAAAACATCGATTTGGAAAACCTTGACAACAATTAACGAATTCAAGATATCATTTACTTCAAAATTCATCATTATTGTCTCTGCTGCGTTTGTTAAGTATATTTGAGGCTACTAGAGGCAGAGTGACCTAATAATAAAAAACATGATTTGCAATTAAGAGGAAAATAAAACTGCGCAATTAACCTACGCGAAAATAAATTTTGTATTAATTTTGTAAACATATAACAGTTTTTGGTCACTGTGCTCTTGTAGATTACCATTTAGACTATAAAGATATAAATAACTTAAGTCATAAACATTGCATTCTACCTCTAGCGGCCTCATTTAAGTGACATGTTATCTCAAACAAAAATACACTATGGCCAGTTTTTCTCATACAAAGTAGTCGCTCTCCTATTATTTAACATTTTACTAGTAGTATAGCTAAATCTGATGAATATAGGAATATTATAGTGGAAGTAAAGTAGTTAAAAGTGATCCAGATATGTGCTCCAACTTCTGGCCATCCCGACGAAGACGTCTATGTACGAAGATATCGATAGAGCAATACACGGAAATAAATGTAGTGACATACAAACACACTATAGTGATACTGTCATTATGGGCGACTTCAATGCAAAAGTAGGCCACAACTTGTCAGAGGAATTGGGAATAGGCCCGCTCGGCTATGGAAGCAGAGTTAATAGGGGCCAGATGCTTGTTAATTTCCTCGAAAGATACGGGTTATTCATGATGAAATCATACTTTAAGAAGAAACCTCATAGGAAATGGACATGGCAAAGCTCTAATGGCCAGACAAAAAACGAAATCGACTTCATTCTTGCCGATAAACGATATATATTCAGGGACGTCACTGTCATCAATAGGTTTAACACCGGCAGCGACCACCGCATGGTCAGAGGCACTCTAAATATCAAGGTGCAAATAGAGCGCAAGCGGTTAGTGAAGTCGATAATACGCCCAAACATCCAAACCAAGATGGAGTCCGATAAATTCCAATTGGAGCTACAAAAGAATTTCGGAGCGCTGAAAAATGTCGCCGATATTGACAGTACTTACACCTACCTGGTGAAGATCGTCCGCGAGGCTGGTTTGAAGCACTTTAGATCAAGGTCCAAAGGTCAAAAGTCGAAACTCACCGAGGAGACTCTCGAGCTGATGAAAAAGAGAAGAGAAGACCCCAACCTGCCTGAACCGGACCGGAAAAATCTAAATAGATAGGTCAGAAAACGTGTCCGCCAACACAATGCAAAGATGATGCAGGAAGCCATAGAGAAAAGTAACGGATATTGCTAGCAAAATAGGCAGGTTAGAATGGCAATGGGTTAGGTGTGTCTGCAGAAGAGAAGATGGTCGTTGGAGCCGACATATACTAGATTGGAGACCACGATTAGGCAAACGCAGTGTAGGACGACCTACAGCACGGTGGACAGATGACCTGAAGAAAGTGGCCGGCAGCAAATGGATAAATAGAGCTCAAGAGAGGGCCGAGTGGCATGCTTTGGGAGAGGCATATGTCCAGCAGTGGACCCAAACAGGCTGATAATGATGATGGATAGTGGAAGTGGACTATTCTGGTAATAGAATAAAAAATAAAAACGAGCACTACTCCAATATTTATTGACAATAGTTAGTATATGTGTAACAAAATTTATTAATAATAGCGGTTACTTGGTCCGTACAACTGTCCAGCTCGTCTCGCCCCAACCACGATCCCCTCCCAAGTCTCCTCTACAACTTGTCTGATGTACCTAGCACTCAAATGGAAGCCTAAGAGCCCTCGACCGAGTCCTGGCAACTCATACGTGAATGATAGAGGGACTCCGATGTAATGAGCATAATCCTGGGATGAACCAGATGTAGGGTAACCGATCACTAATTTAGAGTTTCCGATAGTATATTTAGGGAAATCTGGTAGAGCCCTCACAGTAATGGCTTTCACCATGTTCACAGCTGTGGTTTGTTGCGCAAAAGCGTAATTAGAGAGTGTTCCGTCATGACCCCATGGGTACAAAACCATGCTGCCGTAGCTATGCATGCTAAGGTACATCACCATCCTATCCAAATTCTCATGCAAAATGTCTCGGACTACTCTAATTTCGACTTCAGAGAATGGTGCGCCTCCAGGGAACGTTTCTCCGCATGGGTTGGAGCTTACACCTACAGTGTTCCATTTGAAGTCAAAGTTACGGTTTCCATCAACTCCAGGGCATCTCTGGCCGTCGAAGTGGTCCATGGAACGTGTCTTGCGCCAGAAACGTGTCTGGAAATATTAATAAGTTAGTATAGCTTTTCTTAAATGAAAGATCTACTTAGATTTAAATAAATGGATTACATGATTGGGAGCCCAGCCCACAATTCCGTGTTGATGCTGTATCAATTGAACTACTGTGCCATGATCGTAGCTATCTATTTGTTCATAACATTTTCCAATCTAAATATCGACAATTAACTTATTATAATTATTATATTCTATAATACTTACACTGTTATGAGTGAATTCATATCCATCCGGGTTTACAACAGGCAACACGATCCAATCAAATCTTTCCAACATATCTGGATTCGTCAAATTTTCTACCAGCTTGTGGATGGTGAAAGTCGCCACGGGTGGAGTGATCCATTCTCTCGCGTGGGTCGTTGATTCGATAAAAATAAGAGATTTCGATTTGTCCTCGAAGTTGGTGGAAGATATCTTTAGGTACTTAATAGGACGACCCTCGTAGGAATTTGCCGGTGTAACCAACGTAACGAGGTTAGGGTAGTTCTTTGCAACACTATCGATGTAATCGTAGATCTAGAAATATTAATTTAGATTAAAAAGCGAAATTCATTAAATTATTTATAACTATGCTTATACTTTGCAACTGTCGTGATCTTGGGTTCCCTTTTATTGTGTTTACTAGAAATTAATTTATTACTTGCGTAAATTTCAAATAGTACTTAATAAAACTTGGTATTACTTTTTATTGTGACCAAGATGTGTATTATTTATACAATTAAGTTACAAATTTATAAACTACTTTAAATAACTAAGTCACGGACAAAGTTTAACAATAATATATAATTTTAACTTATTCATATTTATTATTATGTTTTGAAAGCAGTTTCGGATAATAGATACAGATTTATTAAATTAGACATCATGGGTGAGTGGATAAATATTATACTTACTACTTGTAAAGGCTGGTATCTGTCATATGCCATTTCTCCCTTCGGAGGAGTGCTTCTGCTGACTGCTTCTGCATCCTGATCATCAAGGTCAAGCTGACTGAAAAATACATTATCAATGTGCTGTCAATGTGCAAAATGGACAAATGATACTGAATTTCTTATCACAAGATAAACAAAAATTGAAGTGTGTGTCAACAGCGCTGTGAAAAATGTAAGGGCGTAAACTAAAAATATGTTATTTTGCATATTATAATCCATTTTAATAACCACTATTCACCTACTGTTACATAAATGTGAATATATAAATACTCATGACTGATTATGAGACTTAATCGATAAAACTGTATATTGTTTCCTAATCCCTGGATTTTGTAAATTATACGGTAATATAGAATTTGAACGCATTATATAAGCGTAGTATAGAATTGTCACATCCTTAACGTTATTCAACGCCAATAAAAAAATAGTTAAGACTTTTTATAAAATGAAATTTGTTGATTACTTTTCCAGTTATTTATTTGTCCTACAAATAAAGATATTTCGCTGATCAAATACTTATGTTTTTTTTTATTGTATATTAGATTATACACGTTTTTCATTCACACACTGAAACACCGCCGTGTAAAGAGCGGACTAAAGACTGCCATTTTTGATACAAAATAATAAATTATGCTACACTCGAGAAAACTCACGCTTTGACGTCTTCAGCATGCACCCAATACTGAATCCCTTCGTTTTTCAAAGCAGCAACAAATCCAGATTGATACTCGGGCTTCACGAGTACTAATCCTTCGCGGTTAAGGGCAGCTCTGCTCAAAAAGTCCAGATCAAAACCAGAGATCATACCACCCAAGGATTGGAGTTGATCTTGAGTAGATGGCGCCACGTAGTACGACTTCCATCTGAAATGGGTAAGACTTTTTTAGTTGAGATGTTTAAGTGAATTGATAAACGGTTTCCTATATATTATGAGGCTGTTAGAGCCAGAGTGGCCTAGTAACAAAAAACATGATTTTCAATAAGGAGGAAAGTAAAACTACGCAACTAACTTAGGCGAAAATTAATGTTATTTGTGTAAAGATTATGTTTATTAAAATTAAAAAATTTAAAAAAATTCTATCACAGTGCTCTTGTAGATTAACATTTTTAGACTATGAAAATATAAATAACATGCCATAAAATTTCAGTTAGGCTACTCTGCCTCTAGCGGCCTCAATATATTTTCAATAACTGACAATTGCTGGGACCAAAAACTCTATATCAAATAAACTCCATAAAGTGTATTTTATATATAGCATAGTATATCTCAATAACAAGCTTTAAATCTGTAAATGTCAAATTCTGTCATTTGGTGCAATATTATGTATAATACACGAGTGAAACTCACCCTAAATAAGCTTCATGCTTGGCAGAAACTGCCGCGACCAAGCAAAAAATTATCAAAGTCTTCATGGTTAAAACCAGTTACTTTAAAATGTCGCTACATTTATTCAAATTATTACAGATAAAAATCATAAATGTCTTAATAATATCGAACACGTATCAAATAGGGCTTAAGCGATAGGAAAAACTAAATTACTTTGCTTTCAGTGTATTATAGTCATAAAATGTTATCAATTGTGTCTTTGGGAATTTAAAATAATTTACATTATCTATCATAAGATAAAAAATTTCAATATGTCTATGAACTCTTAAAAGAAAACTGTAATAGTGAAATTTAACTTCTTTACTTATATTCAGACAGCAAACGAAAGTTAAGAAAAACAAATACTTAAAATAAATAGCTTTTAGTTTAATAATAATTATAAAAAAAAGGAATTTTTAAAAACATTCTATACTGTTAACTCTAGATGTCTTTATACACAAAATTGTATTATAATTTCCTATTTACTATCTCCCTCGCATGTTTAGCTCCAGCAGCAATGCCCTCCCAGGTTTCTTCTGCAACTTGTCTGACATATTTAGGATCTAAGTGGAAGCCTTGTAAACCTCTTGATAGACCTGGTAATTCATAAGTATAGGCTAGAGGAACTCCAATGGAATGTGCATAATCTTCACCGGCTCCCGAAGCACCGTAACCAATCACTAATAAAGAATTGCCAACTTTATAAGTTGGGAAATTTGGTAAAGATTTTTTCTGGATTGCTTCAGCCATGGTGACTCCGACGGTATGTAAACCAAAAGCATTTGGCGATAAGCTACCGTCGTGACCCCAAGGGTACAAGATCATGCTGCCGTAGCTGTGGAGAGTTATGAATAGAGTCAATCTATCCAAGTATTCATTGAGGATGTCTCTAACTATTCTTGTCTCGACTTCAGAAAACGCTTTAGATCCTCCGTAAGTTTCTGTGCAGGGATTATTGCTAGTGCCCACGGTACTCCAGTGAATGTCATAGTTACGATTTCCGTCAACTCCGGGACACAATTGGCTTAAAGAGCTCTGGTCAGTGGAACGAGTTTTACGCCAGAACCTTTCCTGCAATAGAAATGTGGCGTATGCTTATTTGTAATTATCTTTATTTGGAAAAAGATATCATTTTCATTATCATTTAAACCCAGTGGTTTAATTTGTTGTCTACTTACATTAGTGTGAGAGTATTGGTATCCATCAGGATTTGATACAGGTAATATAATCCAATCAAAGTTTTCAAGTAGTTCTGGATCAGTCAAATTTTCAACCAACTTGTGTATCGCGTAAGTAGCTGCTGGAGGAACTATCCATTCTCGAGCATGAATAGTTGCTTCTACCATGATTATGGACTTCGATCTATTTTGGAAGTTGCTTGATGAAATTTTTAAGTACTTGATCGGTCTACCTTCGAAGGAGTTTCCACCTGTCACTGAAGTAACAAGGTTGGGATACTTTGCAGCAATCCCATCTGTGTAATTGTAAATCTGTAAAATAGAAAGCGCAGAACTGTAATTGTGTTTAATTATTTGTATTCTTAACTTCTATCTTCACGAAAGGTTTTACTTTGTTTTTGCAAAAACGCTAATGCACGCAAATACGCTGAATAAAAGATGTATAATCTTACTGCTTCTAGACGGACATAGTTGTCGTAAGGTTTCTCAGTTGTACTTTTACTTCTGAATTCGGTATGTCTGGCTTCTATTTGTTCATCGTCAACTTCTAAACGACTAAAATAATAAATAGTATTATTATAAATATGAAATAATCAAACAAAATTAAACTTGCGATTAATTTTTAATCTCATAACTAAGCAATTAATCAAGTGCTCTATATACCAACTAATGGACAATTAATTTGAGTTATAAAAGCAACTTACGCTTTTACGTCCTCGGTATGTAAGCTGTATGGAATTCCTTCCTCTTCCATAGCCGTGATAAATTCATTTAGATATTGAGGTTTCACCAGGACCATACCTTCGCGATCAACCCTTGGTCTAACGAAGATGTCCACATCTAATTTGCTCTCCAAGGAGCCCAACGTTGCTAGTTGTTCTTTTGTGGCTGGTGTTACGTAGTATGACCTCCAGCTAAATATGATTTTAAATATAATTTCAACTAAGAAAAAGCTATATTTAAAATGTGTGCATTTATCTATTTGTGACGCGATAAAGTAATTTTTGAGCAACATAATATGAGGGTATTTGATTTTATAACACTTAATAAAACTGTACATAGGTATATTTAAAAAAAAATTGACAATTATTTTTTTTGTATTTACCCACTCTTATTTGGCTAAGTTTTAAGGAAGATAATAATAGGACGAGATTGAAAAGATGCATGTTTTATACAGTAAAACATCCATCATGCAAGTACTGCATGCATCACGCATTACTGTTTAAAACATTTTTTCTTGCGAAAATACATTTTTTTTGGGTATGGCCAAATGTTAGTATTATAAAACAACGTACCCAGCATATCTCTCATGTTTGGCTAAAGCCAAAGTAAATAAGGACACAACCATCCAAAACTTCATTTTAGAAATAACTTTAACGTTAAAATTTGGTGACCTTTATATATAATTATAATGAGTTCTGATAATAGACAGATTAGTGAATAAAACCTTTGATTAGTTATCACTGATAAATAATTTATTTACATAGGGCATTTTTTTTAAATTGTTTACATCATCGACAAATTGTTTAGGGCAAAAATATTACAAAGTGCTTCTAAAATAATTGAAATATCATAATATTTAAAGATAACTCGATACCTTTAATGTATTTTCTTTATGGATTGATGGTTTAAAAATGTAGCTTTTAAATTATTACACGTAAATAAACTTTTTTTGTATAAATAAACATCCTGTTAATAATAATACCGTCATTTATATTTTGATAACTGAAGTAGGAATGACGGATAGAGTAATTAATAATAGGATTAAATTTACTAATCAACAAGATAAGTGTAAGAAAAATTAATCCAAAAAGTATTGCGATTTTCACGAACATCATTAAAAAGCTAAAACATTATACAGTTAATCATGATTTAATTACACTTAATTCCAAACGTTAAAAGTATTTCTTATTGTTTTTTTTATTATCTTTTAAAGTTAAGACCATAGTAATAATAATATTTATATAATAGTTAAAAAAGCTTTTTAAAAATGTTATTTATTTATTTTTTTATATTTTTCGCATCCCTAAACTTATACATCATAAATAAATTATAAAATGCACATTTAATACTATTTGGACGTAAGTACAATTTCTCTAGCCTTTTTAGCACCCGCTGCAATACCTTCCCAAGTCTCTTCAGAAACTTGTCTGGCATATTTCGGATCGAGGTTGAACCCTTGTCTTAAACCGGGTAATTCATAAGTATAAGCCAATGGAACTCCGATAGAATGAGCATAATCTTCAGCAGCACCGGATGCACCATATCCGATAACAAGTCTGGAATTACCGACTGCATATCTTGGGAAATGAGGTAATTTTTTTTCATATATCGCTTCAGCCATAGTAATACCAACAGTATGTAAGCCGAGAGCATTTTGGGACAAGCTACCGTCGTGGCCCCAGGGATACAGGATCATGCTGCCGAAGCTGTGAAGGGTGATAAATAGAGTCATTCTGTCCAAATACTCATGAATGATGTCTCTAACAATTCGGGTTTCTACTTCGGAGAAAGGACGGGATCCTCCGTAATTATCCGTACATGGGTTATTGCTGGTTCCAACCGTTCTCCAATGGAAGTCATAGTTGCGGTTACCGTCAACACCTGGACATAATCTGCTGGATTGAGATTGGTCTATTGATCTCGTCTTACGCCAGAAACGTTGCTAAAATTAGTCAAAATGATTGAATTAAATTATTGCCTAAACAAAAAATCACTCTTATGGTCATTGCTTAAGAAACGTATAAACAAATATCAGAACTATGAATCTTACATTTGTATGAGAGAATTCATATCCATCAGGATTTGACACAGGTAATATAATCCAGTCAAATTTGTCTAGGAGTTCACGATCAGTTAAGTCTTCAACCAGTTTGTGGATGGCATAGGTAGCTACTGGAGGAGTAATCCACTCTCTCGCGTGTATTGTAGCTTCAATAAAAATCAAAGATTTAGATCTGTCTTCGAAATTGCTTGATGAAATCTTCAAATATTTGATAGGGCGGCCTTCGAAAGAATTTCCCGGGGTAACCATTTTAACAATGTTGGGGTATTTTGCAGCGATGCTGTCCATGTAGTTGTATATCTAGCGCATTAGATTTTATTATAATATTATTAAATTAAAAATCAGCTTTAGGTTGAAACCCCTTTATAGGGATCTGTCGGGATAGCCACGACCAAATCGTACAATACCGTTGCTACTCCAAGGTGGTAAACAACATATAACGCAATATAAATAGAGCAATTGCACGGTACACAGTATTTACTCAATATAACTACTACTCTGTCACAAACGAAAATTAAGTTAAAGTTTTCTTACCACATTCAAACGAACGTAATTATCATATGGTTTTTCTGGCTCACTCCTGCTACGGAATTCTGCATGCCTGGCTTCAATTATTTCGTCGTCTATATCAAGCTGCCTGTAATTTTTTTAATTTCTATTTAAATTTTTACTTTTTTTATTACAATAAATTTATTTTCATGACAATATAAACAAAAAAGGAAATCAAAAAAATATATACGCTTTCACGTCTTCTGCGTGAATCTTGTGACTAATCCCTTCTCTTGCTAGAACCTGAACGAATTCCTCCTGAAAGTCTGGCTTCACAAGCACAACGCCCTCACGGTCCAATCGTGGTCTCATAAAGAAGTCCACTTCTAAGCTCATCTCTAGAGATCCCAAGACTGCCAGCTGTTCAGCAGAAGTGGGAGCTACGAAATATGATCGCCATCTAAAATATAGTTAAAAGTAAAGATAAATAAAAGGGACAGATCATTTAAAACTAATGGACATTTATTAAGAACTTGATCTTTTAAACTAGTAATACAATGAGGCGTTATTAAAGTAAATTCTGAAAAAATTACCCAGCATAATGTTCATGCTTGGCAAAAGCCACGGCAAGAAGGGACAATATCCAAATCTTCATTTTGTGTTTACATAAAGTGGTTTTTAGCTTGACTACATGCTTTTATAAGGCTAAAATTGTTATAATCATTTATCATTAAGACTTTTCTTTGTTAATCTTCCAATCAACAGATATGGTGTTCTGTTTTAAATTATTAACAACAGATAATTGAAATATAAATTGTATAAAGGCAAGTACATACATACGAAATATTATAGAGATTCTATTAATAAATGATACATTTCACACCTTTATATAGTAATTAAAAATTTTAATGCGATGTAATATTTTTTTTTAGAATAGTAGTGTATCTTTGTTTTATTCCTTTTACTTTCTGGCTCAAAAAAAGACAATATGGAGACCTCTACCTCCATTTCATATACTGGGTTATAAAATGGTCTATTCCTTCTTATTTACAAGCTGGTGAATGTACTTTAAGTTAAAGAAGAAGAGACAAATTGAGAGTCACTATAATAAAATAAATGCCTATTTCTATTTTAGGACCTTTGACAATTTTTTAAATACTCTATGAATATAATAGTCATTATTATTATTAAAATCATAAGATAGAAATAAAATTTTATTTTTATACAATACAAAAATTATAGCAAATGTTTATATTGCATCACTCAATAACGCCAGCCCAATATATTTTTTTAAATTTGTGGTAATATAAGGATGGTTTTCAAGGCGAGAAAAAAGCGAAAAAACCCTAAAAACAACCCTTCTCTGTTTCCCATACAAACGTTTTCTAACTACAATGTATAGTAAATTTATCTTTATCCCTATTCAATAAAGCTCATAGTAGATTACAAGCGGTCACCGTTGTCTAAGCAAATGTATTTGATGTTTTGACTACAGATCATTTTGGATGGTTTCGCGACATTGTTTTAGTTTCACGGCACATTTTCATTTAGACACGCGAATAGAATGCATCGGTTCACGTCATTACATCTGTCAAATACATACCGCTTTACTAAAACTATTTTATTATTTTTAATTGTGCACTTAAGATAGGAATATCTGTGTAAAATTATATTAATAATGTACACGTGAACACCGAATAAAATAATAGAAATAATAAAATTAAAACTCTACAGACGCCATCTAATCCATACCAATCTTTGAAAGCGTTAATCTCAGGAACTACTCTTTAAGGTTATTAAAAATATTTTTTGTGGATTAGACCATTTATCGAGGAAGGGTTTAGACTATGAAACATCAGGAAGCAATAGAAGCGAAGAAACACCGCAAGACACGCGAAAATAAATTTGAATGCCCAAAATAACAAAACACCAACATTTAATAAATGATTAACGATACGATATAAATATAATTATACTATATCTTTATTCATCCTCTTTGTTAATTGAATTGTAAATACCTTTAAAAATGTGTAATATCAAGAAGCTAATGCTTCATACGAAGAGATAAATAAAATTATAATAATGTTCAGCAAGTCCCGTATTCTTTTCTTAACCTATCGATTTTTTCCAAAAAACAAACCTCGAGAGTCGCCGGTCATTACTGCGAATAATGCACTTAAATAAGAATACATATTTTTATAGGAAAAATAATTTAAGAAATTTGTTCCGCGACAATCGATATATAGATAGTAAACGACAATTTCTGAAAGTTTACCTCAATCTTAATTACTGTTACAGTAAATGGGCATCAGTGCCTGAATAGTATTAATATTTATTCTTTTTTTTGTAAAATCTATATAATATCACAAATTACTTTTATATTAAAGTAATTTGTGAGTATGGTATTTCTACCATCAAGTATAATTTTCTGTATTTTGTTTTAAATTAGTATTTCAATCATAAAGTTACTTAACACATTTAATAATTGTAAAAAATTACATCGATAAAGACATAACTTTCACGTATAATATAATTTAAAGGTCGCGTAGTAAAAAAAACAAACCATATATTTTATAAAACAAATGAATGCAACAATACTATTATACCTGGAGATATAAAGTAATAAAATAACCTCATTTTGGACTCTACATTTAATAAACAATAAGGCATAAAAGAAACTACATTTTTAAAATAACGTCATGGTAATTTATTTAGCCTCCGCCATCCTTCTCCTCTCAAGAACATAGCGGGCACCAGCTTGAATACCTTCCCAAGTCTCCATACCAGCTTGATAAATAAATGCGGGGTCTACCAGGAAACCGTTAATGTTAGCCACATTTCTGTAGGCAGGGAGCTCATAGGTGAAAGAGAGAAGGTTTCCAAAGGACTGAACGTAGTCACTAGAACCGCCAGAAGCACGGTAATTTATTACATCAACGATGTTTCCTACTCTATAGTTTCTCTTGTTCGACCACTTGACAGCGTCAATCCTCTGTGCCATTCTTACTCCTACCATGTTGAGTGTCAATGCGTTTGGAGGGAGCTGCCTATTACCAAAACCGTACAGGATCATGCTACCGAAGCTGTGGATATCAATGAAGAGTTCCAATCGGTTTCTGACTTGGTTGAGGACATTTCTGACGGCCTGGGTCTCTGGTTCAGAGAATGGTCCAGTGCCGTGGAAAGTTTCCGTGCAAGGAGACGCGCTGGAGGCGGTACCCCAGTTGTGGTCGAAGTTTCTATTGAGGTCGACACCTGGGCACATTGACCATCCAGCGTTCCTGGCGCGGTTTTTACCTGGCGCCGCCACATGCGGGTCTGAAAACAAAAATTTTGTTTACGCGTAAGAAGTATAGTTATTAGTGTAATCAATATATCTTTTAAATAAAACACTAACTGTTTTAAACCCATCGGAAGTTAAAAATATTTTTAAATAAGTTTAACTAATATATCGCGTTTTAAACCGTTAAAGTGTTTTATTTAAATGTGTACTACTCCGTAAACTATAGACAGTATTTAAATATATCTGTTTTATTATATTGTTACAACGTCATCATCGTCTGTTTTTATTGCTCAAGAGAAAGTTATGGATCCAAACTCAAGGTCTCATCGATACTCAAAGAGTATTGCTAGTCAGAAAATCTATAAACCCATAAAATTAGGAATTTTTTTCGATATAGATTCATGCTTTATAAAATTATAAGCAGATAAGTTTGGTGGAGTTTTAATATTTTGTATTACTTAAATTACGAGCATGTATTACTTTGTTTGTGAGAAATTAAGTTACGTAAATATTTAAGCTTTAAATAACTAATAAAGTGATGTGTCAGTAGCTTAACTAGTAGAGGAAAATATGCAAAGACACAGGTTCAAGCCCACCAATTTTTTGTAATATTTAGCACTTTTTTTAACAACTTACGTTAGTGTGAGTGAATTCGTATCCATCAGGGTTGGCAATAGGCATGATGATCCAATCAATGTTGTTGACCAAAGTTCTGTCTCTGACGTCAATAACCAGCTTTTCAATGGCATATAGCGAAGCGGGTAGAGTCACCCATTCACGAGCATGAAGAAGCGACATCAGGAAGACAACTGGCTTGGTTCTAGACTGAAAACGTAATAAAAAATGTAACGTTATGTCTGTAAAATTATCCTTGTATGTAAGAAATTTATACTCAAGGCTAAGTAAAGTATCTTTAGTTTACATGAGCATTAAACAAACTATGTATAACAGTTTAAAACTCGATTCAAATCACTCCATGTGGTTTGAATCGGGTGCCTATGTGATTATGAATAAAATTATCTATTTCCTTGGTACCAAAATAAATATTCTTCATTTTCACAACATTGTATGTTTAACACCACTTAAACATTTTGAAATGTAATAAAAATTAACAAAACAGTATTCATTCTTTCTTTTCCATATTTTATCTATATTCTTCTATTCAATAGAAAAATTTAAACAGCGTAAGAAGTACATGTTTTAATATACATTGATTATTTTTGTTTAATCGCTAATTAAAAGAAAATCCATTTTTATTCATGATTGATAGTGTTAAATGACGAAAATTATCTACTCTTTATCCACGCGCTGATAACGAAATTCACGGATTAAAAAGATAATGTGATGTGCGCATTCATATAGATTTACATAAAATTCATTTTTTGAAATATGCAAATTAAAATAAAAGATAAGATGATGTCAGTTAAAGAAAATCCGAAATGGAAATTTCTTATACATACATCAAATAATTTTAGATTACCAAGTTAAATATATGTTAACAAGATTGGGTGCAGAAGTCTGATTCACGACTTGTGTGTACGTTAAATCGAAGATTTTTATAATGATAACGGGGATTACACTTAATGGAGGTGAAATACCATCCCCAAAAAAAATGCTGTCGAACTATTTTGGCTTTTAATATTTGATTGATTGAATAATTCTAAGGTCCTCGAGGACAACACATAAGGGAGAGCTTTAACCTTTTAAATCAAGATTTTAAACATATATTTGCAATTATTAATTAAATAAAAATCGGTCTTAAACGAACAACAGCGCTCCGTGTTTATAACCTGTAGAAATTATAATAATTCCAATAATTTCATCTTGAAAGCCCAATAGAGCGTTTTACAAAGCCTGCTTGTTTTGTCTTATTTTTTATGATAGAGAGGGGATAGACCAGGACGGGATTCACTTGATGGAATGTATCCCAAATAATACGCTGCGTTGTCTACTATTATTTTGGTTCTGGATATTCGACAATCCTGACTGAAATCCAAACGCGATTAAACCTCTTATCCATCTGTGATTTGTGATCCTGAATCCGTCTAAGATGTGTATTATGTATAAAACCAATTTCCATTTTCATTTGTTTCTAACGCCTGTACAGCTATATCGATGTAATAATCTTTTATGTACCAGTAATGTACAAACTGTTTTTTCCTCTTAACAGTTACGTAAAAGTGTATTGATAGACACAAAGATAGCATTCAATAAATTTAAATGCAATTTTTTGTTACAGTGAGCCCCAAACTTACGATGCCAGTCTATCATGTTATCACAGTTTTTTAAACGTGTAAACTATTGAATATTAATTTTGAGTTATTGTGAGACTTAAATTGAATACCTGGAAGTTATCAGAAGAGATCCTCAGGTATCTAATATCACGACCTTCGACACTTTTACCAGCTGATTCAACTCGGACGTTGGCGTAGCTGTTGGCGAGTCGTTGAAGGTAGTTGTTCACCTGGAAGAGAACATAAAACAGGTTCTTCATCTACACTGCTCCTTTGGAAATAAAAAACATTATTACTATTAATATACTTTTGTGTGAGCTACTAAACTTTACAGTGTTGATCTTCGTTAGATGCATATAGGAATTGCAGAAACCTCAGAGGCTATCAATATCATGACATATATTCGTTCTTATAGGTAAGATGTAAAATCACTTACGACTTCGTATCTATGGATAACATCGAAAGAAAGTCCAGGTGTTGATCTGTTCATTTTAGCAGATGCAGCAGCCATAAGCTCATCTTCGAGGTCTAGTTGTCTGTTAAGAGTAACATTTATGTTTATTAGTAAATATTATGTTTTTTCTAATGTACAAAGCTTCTAAAAATAGTACTCTTTTTTTATACAAATATGGTAATTATGGGATCAGAAATGATGTTGTAATTCGTGGGCCGTGGATGTAATTATATAATACGTAAAAATATTAATTGTAATAAGACGGAAAATAACAAAAATTGTACTAAGGTACTAACTCTTTGATGTTATTGGATTTAATTTCATAAGGAATGCCAGCGTGAATCATCTCCCTTTGGAAGTCCTCTTTAATATCCCCTGGGACTAAGATGAGACCATCCTGGCCTGTGTATGTAGCATGCCATTTGTCCAGGAAGAAGCGTTCTACCACTTCATCGAGGTATCTGTGCTGATTGTCATTCAATACTTTCACTTCGTAGAGAGTGTGTCTGTAAGAATAAGAAGTTATATTGTCTTTAGTTTACGCGACTAGTACATATTTAAATAAAACACTTTAACGGTTTATATATATAAGTTAAACTTATTTGAAAATTATATTGACTATAGATGAGTATATTTTAAAAATACATGTGGCACATGATGGTATAAAAAAAATCTATTTAGATTGAAAAAATCGATTACACGATTCGATGAATTAACTCAATTCGTCTCAACGAATATTTCGATTCCAAATAGATTTTTAATTTCGATAGAATTCATTCAACAAGATGTTTATATATGAATAAGATTTTAATTTCAGAAAACATTATAATTAAGCGAAAATAAAAAAGTGATGAGAATATTTTTTTAATAATTCTCGACAATAAAAACGACATTGACGATCACAATATTACATTTTACCAATAATATCAAGTGATCATACATTGGCTTAATTCACGTTAAATATATTATTAAACCGAAATAGCGTAGTTAAAATATTTTTTTAAAGATAATCTCACCCAAAGAAGTCTTCATGTTTCGCAAGAACTGACGAAACAGTTAAGAAGAAGAAGAATAATTTATACATATCGACCAAGCCACTTTTGGTCAACAACGTCGAATGTCCAGTTATCAGACAACGCTACCAAATATATTAATAACATTATCTAAGCCTTAATACGTTGATTAATTAATTTGAATATCTTTTAATAAGTTGATAATAATCGGGGTGACGAGAGCGTTATAATATTAATTTTTTATTAACTTTAAGCTTATATAATATATTCGATTTTTCAGAGAATGTAATAGGAACGGCGTCTATAGTGTTTTGAATTATCATAAATAGAAGCAAATATATTTAAATTTTTATAAATAATCTTTCTAATAAACTATCAAATAATTAAAATAATCGTAAACAATACAAATAAAGTAAGTAAAAAGATGTAGGGAAGCGTAGCATTTATTTAAATCATTAAAGCTAAAAAAATGCGTAAAACATTTTTGTGCTCATTTGCCTATATAGTCTTACTGTGCCCGCACTTTGTTTGCGTGAATAGTTATTTGGTATCTTTAAAGACAGACATAGACTGTCGCAGACATTTTTTAAGATAATTTAAAGAGGAAACATTAATTTAAATATATTTTTTTGGTTTCTTGAACTGCTCAAAGGTACTACTTACAAAGTTTTAATATTTTTCCGCTTTTAATCCACATTTTACTACTGATTGTTTGCAGCATGATGTCATATATCCTAACGCTTTCCTTGATAAATGGTCTAACCAACATAAATATATTTTTTTCATTTCGAACCATGATTTCCTGAGATAAGCGCGTTTAAACAAACAAACTCTTCAGCTTTATAATATTAGTATAAATTGATTACACATTGAATTTAACATTACTAATGCATTTTCAATCCATATTATTAAGAACACACTAAGCCATATTAGCGTGTATTGAATTTAATACTGAAATTAAATTAATTAAAACCTTATTACATTTTATTTAATTAATTTTACGCTTGCCAGTCCTTCTTTGATTTTGTAGGAATATATTACGCTGAAAATTTATAAATAAAGCAACGCAATTTGACATCACTGCAAAACTCAACTTTAAACCAGAAAATACCATTTTTCCCTTTTTCCAAATTTTATTGTATAATTATATTTATCACAAGCGATGAGGACATCGCTAAAGTTCACAATCATGATATTTTTTAGATTAATAATTCTAAATCGGATTTTAATCTGTTATCATTATTACCAGTTGCACTTTTGAGACCTTGTAATTAGTATATAGTTAGTTACTGAAGCATGAAGGCGTTTTTGCTCGTGTGTTTAGTAGTGGTGACTTCGGCCAAGTATGAAGAATATGCCGGGTAAGAAAGCTTATGTGCTATCACAAGCAGCTTATTTATAAAGTACATTTTATTTTTTATAAAGATGTTGTGATATGTAATCTGAAGAAACAGCGAGAAATGTGACGGGGCTAAATTATTTATCCTTGTGATTTTCCGCTACGAAAACGGTTCAAGATACTAAAAATATATGTATGAAAGAATGTTTCCTCTATAAATGATCTAAAAAAATGTCCGACAGTATATGACTGAGATAGTCATATACTGTCGGACAAGTCCGTTAAGAATAACTTAGAAGAACGACGGGACGCGCGAGTTAGCTAAGACAAATTTAGCTTAGTACGGCTTAGAATTGTATAAAAATTTATGACATTTTTACAATAGTTTCATTATATAATGGACAAAATATAGAACATTTAAGGGGTAACATGAAATCGGAGGATATTTTTATCTAAGACTACCCTCCGTTGATGGTTATTTTTATTTGTTCCTTATAGATATTTAATAATGTGGAAGGTGCATTATTTCTGAATAAATAAATCATCATCAATAAGTGGCCTTTTTTTCTAATACCTCCAACTCTATGTTGCAGATGGAAGTCATACTATGTCCGTCCGTCAAATTATGACCAACTTACCTACTTGGGAAATCTAGTACAAAAACTGAACTTAGATTTTATCAACCACGCTTATGTTGATCAAGATGGTATTGTTATTGTCCATCCTGAGGTGCAGAGACAATTCTTGAAGAACTTAGAAGATTATAACATCGAATTTAGAGTGCATTCCAATGATGTTAGAGAGTAAGTCATTTGAGACCTTAATTTCCATTGCATAAAAAATGCTCTAAAACAGGTGCTTTTAAGGCTACCACCAATAGTGATCAGTGCCTCTACCAATCTAAAAATAAGCTTTATCAATCGCTGTCACCTTAAAATTCCAAGATACTCTACAAAACCAAAGTTTTCCGTAAATGATATTTATAAAATTGTAAACATTCAAAAGACTAAACGAAAATAAAAACAATATTGCCAAAAAAATAAGAAATAAGTGTTCTTCTATTTTTCATTATAGCATTTAGTAAACAAACAAGGAACCTTTTTTTTCAGACAATTACTAAAAGAAGAAGAAGTACTTTTCAAAGAAAGTTCTTCAAAAAATACCATCAACAGTCGCTTGTCATACGACAGATATCACACCACAGATGACGTAAGTTATTAATAAAAAAAATTGTACTTATGTGTATTATTTTTACCGCTATAACACACACAAAGTAAGTAAATATTAATCAAAATAAACTTACATTAGAATCGGATCTTAGAGGACTTTATTACAATTAAATACAATATATATGCTAAAAAGTGCGATTTATTTTCAGATTGAGAATTATTTAAGGGAAATCGCAGCGGCCTATCCAAGGGTGGCTAAATTAGAGATACCATCTAATACATTCGAAGGACGCCCCATACCAATGCTTAAAGTATCAACCACGAACTTCGAGGACAAATCGAAACCAATTATCATGATTGACGGTGGTATCCATGGTAGAGAGTGGTTGACAATCCCACCAGTCACATATGCAATTCACAAGCTGGTTGAGAATGTTACAGAACCAGACCTTCTTGATCGATATGATTGGATTCTCTTACCCATGGCTAACCCCGACAGTTTTAATTTCTCAATTGTTACAGTAAGTTCAAGCTGTTTAATTTCAAGAACTTTAATGTAAATAACTTACGTTTGAAAGAAACAATTTTAAAACAATCTCTGACAAAGTAAATATCCTTTCAGAGCGTGGTGTGGCAAAAAACCCGATCAACTGATAATCATCCCCTTAGCGTGGTATGCCTCGGTGCAGATGTTGACAGAAACTTCGACTTCAACTGGAGAGATTTGGGCCCCGAAGGAACACCTTGTACTCCCCTTTATCCAGGAAATAGGCCATTCTCTGAGGTGGAGACCAGAAACCTCAGGGACATATTACATGAGAACCTTGATAGACTAAGGATGTATATATCATTCGACAGCTTTGGTACCAAAGTTATGTACCCTTGGGGATATGACGCTAGTCTATCGAACCGCGCTCTAGTTCTTCACACAGTTGGTGTGTCTATAACCGAAGCTATGAATAAGTACGCCGAGGATAATAACCACCCGTTTCCTTTGGGATATCAAGTTGGAAGCGAGGCAATTGTTAGAGGCTATACAGTAGGAGGCATGTCAACGGACTACGCACATTACCTTGGAGTCCCATTGGTTTTTAAGATAGAAGTGCATGGATTCTTCGGCGCATACTTCATGCCTCCGCAGTATATTGTACCGACGGTCTTAGAAGCTTGGGAGGGTATTGTAGCTGGCGCTAGACGTGCTGCAGACATGTTTTAAAAACCGTGACTTCTTAATAAAATTTCACGCTTGGTATTAGTTTCTTTTAATTATCAAACGAAATTAATATTTCAGTCCACCTAAAGTGTGATGTGTTGTTAAAAACCATAAAAGATCGCTTAAGGGGTAAGGTTTGAATGCGAAATTCCTTGAAAAAAACCAAGATGTTTTAAAATATTTAATACATGTCATCTCACGAGTTACAAAATAGATGTTTGCCCCTTTACATTAGCTTATCTGAAGTGCATTTTTTTCCTCGAACAAAACAAATTTTGTGTTAAAATCGTGACAAAATCGAATTAATACCTCGACTACCAGCTCAGAATATCAATGTTCAAATGGAAAAGAATTTCCAATGAGTTTGGATTACCGCTGCATTTTCTGAAACAATAGCTAATGTTTTGCTTTGTTACCATCTCCTAATTGAATTCCGTGCTGAGTGCTTTGAGAGAATCGAAAAAAGGTAATTATTTAGGATTAGTTTCATATTTACTTAACACGTAGTTGAATTGAACGAGTCAAATCAAAATTAATGTGAATTATGAAATTATTTATTTTGTTATACCGATAACATTTTATCGGCGAAATGAGCTACTTTAGCAAATGACTATTCGAAAATGAGCTATTCGATTCTTCTAAACTTTTGGCATCATCATTATCTGAATTAATTTGTCACACACATAACAAATAAATCTTCATAATTTTTATTACACTACTACAAAATATTTAATTCTATGTAATGTTAAGAAATAATGTTTATTACTTAATACTATTATACATACGAAGTTATCATAAAGATGTAGGTGCAACATGAGAAAAAATAAAGAAAACAGATCAAATATTAGTTTAAAAAGATTGAGTTTGAAGTATAATGTGATTCGCAAAGGGCGGAATCAAATTTCAATATTGGACGATCAATCTTTTATGGTACGCTTCTTTGAAAATTGAAAGAATCTCTCTTATTTTAATATTTCCTTGCAAGCACAAGCACCCGCCTTTAACGTCCTCAAAAAATAATAATTTTGCAACACAATATTAATCAAATAACCTAACTATAACTTGCTTCTCACAGAAACATTTTCATTTTACTAAAATAAATAGTAATTTTGCAAGAATAAGTCACTGTCTATTCAACTTTTTATTGATATTATATTTAATACCCACATGCAAACTAATTCTTTATAACTATTCCGTAACAGAGTGAAAGCTATCCAAGAACCCTCTAAAATGGCTTCCTCTTTAGCTTAGGGCTAGAGTTCAAGTTATATAAAATTAGAAGTCAAAAAGAGTACTTCTAAAACATTAACTAAGTAGTGCACTATTATTTGTATTTTAACTTAACCAGAAACGTACAAATTTTGGCATATTATTTAAAACATACGAAAACAAGTATCAAACATCTCCTTTTTGAAAGTTAGCTTCATACTCTCCGACAACTTTAATCTAACTTTGGACCTCTGTGGTTTGACCCTTCTGTATAATATAGAGCGTTTTAACTTTGACTAATTAGTTTAAAAATCCATCTGTTAAAGTAGCTCCGGCAAATTGTTTATTAGGGATAGCATAAAACTCATTCATATTCATGATATTATAGTCAGAATTTTATAAAAATGTAAAGAAGAAAAATGCTATTTTTTATATAAAAAGTGCATATACTAAGTAGTTTTAAAAATAACAATCTTGTTAATCCTTCTAAACGTAATTATTAATTAGAAATTAAATATTTTAAATAGACATGATTTCTTTTGCCAGACAAGATACATAGAACATTATATGTTCTATCGATAACGAATTAATCATAAAACATGCAATCTTTGTTTAAGTACTAGTACAGTTTTCATTATTTTTGAACATGTTAATTTATTCGAATTAACATATCAGGTTTAATATTTTAATTTAAGAAACTATCAGCGGCAACTTTTATCGCACTCCATACTTTATCTACTACATTTCTTATTTCAGCCTCTGGTATTTCAACATTGTCCCTACCAGAACCTTCGACATCAACGTTAAACGCGTACAAAACGCTATTCATTGTTAAATAATCTGTACTCGTTCCTGACGCTCTATCGCCATAAGCCAAGGCTGCGATATCTAGATTGGAACCCCCTATAGCATTCGCCATTTGTAATCCTAAGAGATAATGCTGTCTGAACATCCCACTTGCAGCTCTTTCATACTGCCACGGATAAGCGATGAAACCACCAGAATTCTGAAGAGATATATACAATCGAGTACGATCTCTATACTCCTGGTGTATCGACCTAATAAACCTAGCTTCGGGTTCCGAAAATGCTTCAGTACCACCGTATAAATGGCTGCATGGACTCGAACTAGAATCTGATATAAGCCAATCGATGTCAAAGTTTCGGTTTATATTAACTCCTGGACATATGACGCCGAGATTACTTCGGGTGCTGCGATTCTTTTGCCAGAAACGTAACTGTAAAAGGGAAAAAAAAATTTTGAAGAGTCATAACTTATTATTATTAAACATAAAAGGGCATTTTGTCTTGGAAACAGTAATATAACTAAAGAAAGTACTTTAAGTAAAGAAATAACTTGAACAGAGTACGTTGGGAAAAGAATATCTCAACTGGTGTTGTAGCAAATTGCGTTATTAGTTATCTATCTTTTACATTACCTCTATTTGTTTTTTTTTCTTTATGCCCAGTATAGCCCAATGGCTTTAGGTTTTTACCCCAAAAAAATATGATAAACTACTTGTATATTTGTGGGAAAATAAAACGAAATCATGTTTTTTGTTACAGACACAGAAATGTGTCTGCCCCTATGTAAAAGATGTGGTACTGTTTTACTAACTACCTCAGTACAAACGTATTCGGAACATGCCCCAGACATAAGCAAACGTTAAAATTATTTCATAGTTGTATCATAGAATTAATCTAACAATGCCTTTGTTCAAAGATAGTCTGCACTTGAAAAGGGAACTTTCCATAATACTCACTACTTTAAGAAAGATCTGTTGATGAAATTTTAATCAAAAGTTTCACATCTTACACAATTCACGAGAACAGAATTATTGTTCAAACTATTTATGTGTGCCTTTCAAGTTTGACTTGTCTATTCATTTATTAAGAACATCGCTCTTTTGAGTTACAAAAAAGGATTTTAGGTTAAATACAATTCATACAAAATCATATTAAAAATTCTTATATCCTAAAATAAAAATTTGCGCAAAACTTCTTACATTAGACAACAGCATCAGACATAATATGTGTCCCTAGCCTAGTGTGGCCTCATCAACCTTTACAACATATCATATATACATATATATATATACCAACAGGACATATGGTATTTCAGACAATACAAGGCAAGGCCTTTACGACTTCGATGAGGAAACCAATAACAAAGATATTGGTAATTATTTTTTGCTTTATATATTCTGTTTCAAAAGAAATGGCTTATCATTAGTATATTTCATACTAGTATTATTAAGAGCTTTACTTAATTTACTCATTGCAATACTTACATTAGTGTGTGTATATTCGTAGCCATCTGGATTTAAAACCGGTATAATAATCCAATCGTAATGATCTAACAGTCTTCTTTCAGCAATTACTTTCTCTACGACATTCAACGCAGCTGGTACAGTTATCCACTCTCTAGGATTGATTGCAGCTTCTATGATGATAGCAGAGTTATTGCTGTTTGCTTTGCCCAATTTTAAGTAAGCTAGGGTTCGATTTTCATCTGTTGTTTCGACTTCTAACAGTGTTATTTCTATATCAGTTGAGTTTTGGTAGCGGGCTTCAATTGACTGCATGTAGGCTAAAATCTGAAAATATGTTTATTTATTTAAACATAATACATAGGGTAAAAAAGTGGTCTAAATGGACAATGACATTGTCACTATGTCCAAAACCCAAAAATGAACTCTCCTTTAAGTAGAAAAGGAAAGTTATTTTATAATTATAAAAAGAATAGTATAAAAACATTAGTATGATTAATATTACTAAGAATTTGTACTATCACATCAATGACTAAAGCCTAAATAGGTTGATAGCGCAGGTGTTTATAAGGCTGGAGTATTTTACCCTCCATAATGTGCTTCAACATCTTATGCTAGTCTTTCCTGTTCCATCGTAAAAATAAAAATATTGATTCAAAGTCTAGTATAGCAGTACTTCTGAATAATTATTTTATTATTAATTATAATATTTGTATCTTGTACACTGCAAAGGGATTGTACTTATTAATATTAAATGCTTTATCAAGGTATGTATTTCGGGGATTATAATCCTGTATTAAAAATGAATCAATAATGATTACCAATATTAATACCAACCTTATCATATCTATAGTAACCGTCAAAATCAAATGAAGCTTCGTTGTTTTGTTTTAGATTTGTATCCTGTTGTAACATATACCTGAAAAATATTATACTTTTTCATATCCATTTTCGCACCCGATATAAAGCAAAACAATATATTTGAATCTAGAAGGAGTACTGTGCACGGGTACCAACATCGTATTTTTCAAAACGTAAAACTAAAATTATAATTGTATTGTAAATCAAAAGTTTTAAACAAAATCATGACCAATAACTAAACAGTAAATGTTCCTCCTATGTCATCGATCGTCGTTTGTTATAGGTTTCTTTTAATTGCGTCACCTTAACGTGTCTGTACCATAAATATATACATTTAAATTAGTATATAAAATTGAAAAAATAATAATTACATATTTTTAATACAACACTATAACGACTTAAAACGCAAAGTTTATAGATTGACTTATTTTTTAAATTTATGTTAACTATTTCCCGATATTTCAGAATTATGTTTCGCGTTTGTGTTTTAGTTAAATGTGTACTACTCGCATAACTAACAGACAATAATACTGAACTATTCTTTATGTATACATAAAAATAAATTTCTGATACAAATGTACTTACTGATAAAGGTCTTCTATTTCAATATTTCGTTCCACACCAAGCTCGTGCAATTTTTCTTCAAACCAATGAACTTCAGAAAGCGGAACCATCGCCTTGCCAATAACACCGTATTTAAAGGATGGTTTTCTCAAAAAGTCTATTTCATCACTTTTCAACAGACTAAAATTGTTCTGTTGTTCTTCGGTTACCAATTCTACATTGTATATTTTGAAGCTGAAAGATGAAATGGCAGGTGGTAAAAATTACAAACGTCAACTATTGTCAGCTATTTTTGTAGATTTAATCAATCACTCCGTTTAAATAAAAGACTTTAACGGTTTAAACCGCGATATATATTAATTAAACTTATTTGAAAATAATTGTAACTATGGAGACTGTCTCCTCATGACCACGGCTGCTGCCGAGCATCCGAAACGTCGAGTTTTCAATCTTCAAAGTGTTTTATTTAAATGTGTACTACTCGCGTAAACTACAGACAGTAACTAATTACCCCGTTGTTCTTTTCATTAAATTTAATACACTTACCCTTTGTACTCTTCATTTTTTCCATAAACACATAAAAATATATTTAAAACAACAACTATAGTATAACATATTAAACTAAGAAGCGAAATGTTCATTCACTAAAAGGAAGAAGTGGTTAAAAATCCAGAATACACTATTATTTGAGTTTATTAAGTTACAATTTAATTCATCATTATGTTATACAATAGTAATTAAATGTAAAAACTAATTTCATATTGATTACAATATCATGGGGATCAAATAAGGGATTAATCTTATCATTTACAAAAATATTAACATTGTATGTTAGATATAACTACTGTATATTATCTTAACATTATAAGACGTGTAATAAAACTATATTATAATAACGTATTACTACGTTTATGTCATCTGTATGTGAAACCTTCTCAAATACAAAAAGAGTAATCTAGCTATAATCAATATCACACATTTGAGAGGTCCCGGGTGGAGTGACTATAGTGCAATCACTATAAATAAGGTGACAATCAGTATTTACTATAAATTATATGTAATTTCTTTAAAAAAAATAATTTCACACTAAGTAAAAAAAATCGGGTATGAAACATTATACCAAATAAATGGATTTATATATGATAGGTTTCAAATTATGTAGTACCTATATTAGAGATCAAAATGACAAAACTACATCTAATAATCTCGTTTTAGATATATTTTGGTTACCTTTTTTAAATAAAAAGAAAATTTTAATCCTTTACTTATAATGAACAGTAGTGCACTTAATTGAGTTTAATTTTTTCCCGTCAAAAAAACAACAAGACACAAGGAAAAAAAATACTAAGTAATAGAGTTAGTTACAGGAACCGAAAGGAAACGTCGATATTTTGACAAGGTTTATTGTGCTTTTTCTAAATAATTTTACCTTAATTATGTTTAATAATAACAAAATGCAACCTTAACAAATTCATTCTTAAATAAAACACTTGAACGGTTTAAAACGTGATATATTAGTTAAACTTATTTGAAAAATTACGAAACGTCGGGCCGAAGTTAAAAATTACCACTCGCGTAAACTATAAGACAGTATTTAAATACCCCCCGTGTGTCTCCCCGTGACCACGGCTGCTGCAAAGCATCCGAAACGTCGGGCCGAAGTTAAAAATCATTTTCAAATAAGTTTAACTAATATATCGCGTTTTAAACCGTTAAAGTGTTTTATTTAGACAGTATTTAAATTCATTCTGTTTTTCTAACATTTCAGTCTGTGAACAATCGTTGTAGAATATTAATGTATGTATAATGTTGTCAATGGCGTTTAATAGGATGTAAGGTTTTTTTTTAAAGACTAATTGTCAAGTATAAACCTTGCACCAGTCCTAATTCCCTCCCATGTTTCATATCCAGCCTGTTCGATGAAGTCAGGATCTACAAGGAAGCCTAAAACGTGGAAGCCAAGTCTTGAAGCAGGTAGCTCGTAGGTGTAGGATAGAGGAACTCCAATAGATTGAGCATAATCTGGTGTAGTTCCAGAGTTTTTGTATAATACCATCGCGGAGTTTCCAACTCTATAATCTCGGTTGTGAGACATCTTAACAGCATCGATAGCTTGGGCCATGTTTATACCATTTAGATGAAGGTTTAGTGCGTTTGGTGGTAGCTCTTCTGTTCCATAACCGTAGAGTATTAAGCTTCCGTAGCTATGAATGTCTATGAAGAGTTGCATACGACTCTTGTATTGGTCAAAAATAGTCTTGACTGCCTGGGTCTCCGGTTCGGAGAAGGCGCTTCGGCCGTGGAAGATCTCAGTGCAGACGATGTCACTGGATTGAGTTCCCCACATGAAGTCAAAGTTGCGATTCAGGTCTACTCCGGTGCAAACGTCCAATGGGGCGTAGCCGGTGGCACGGTTCTTGCGCCAGAATCTTTCCTGGATAAAATAAGTTCGTAAGGAATTTGAGTCGGGAACTACTTTACAAATGTTTGCACTTATCATTAATGGAGGCTATTTTTTCTATATGGATCGGTGAAATTTTTTTTTCATATTTATACATAGTAAACACTTATTGTATGGAATGAAACCTACAAAATATTTAAATGTTTTTATTTCATGTCAAAAATTTGATTTTGATTTTGTTTTTTTTATCAAGTTAAAGTTTACGATTTAATACTGTAGATCTCTTTGTCTTTTATTTTAGTTATTCAATTTTTAACATAATTAAAAAAAAATAGGAAAGAAGTACTTCTCCATGCGATGCAATGTAACCATCTGGGTTAGCAATTGGCAGAATGATCCAATCAATTCTATCCACCAAGTCACTTTCTGTCACGTTCACAACTAACTTCTGTATGGCGTAAAGACTGGCTGGGAGGGTAACCCATTCACGAGCGTGAAGCAGAGATTGGACGAAAACTACAGGTTTTGTAGAATCCTGAAATAAGAAGAATAAGTCACTGCCCTGGTACCCCACATCAATTGTTAAATAATTTATTTTTCATTAATTAACTAAAGCTATCTTTATTGTTAGACTATACCTATCCAAAGGATGTTTGTAAAAAATGAAAAATATGCAGTTAGTGTCGTGTGCTCTGTGCCCAATATAATTTCAGTTCTTTAATATAAATTACAACGTATAACTAATTTAACTTACTTGGAAGTTAGTTGTAGAGATTTTAAGGTACCTAATAGGTCTCTTTTCAAAACTTTGACCTGCTGTCACCACGGTAACGAGTTTTGGGTAGGTCCTTGCCAAGTCATCCATGTAAGCTTCAACCTGTAAGATGAAAGACAAAATAAAATTTATATCATTTTCATCTTTTCCCGCTCTAAGATAGCATTCAACGAGATGTGTAATTTTATATTTTACCTTTCAATAACTAAACATTATACAAAGTTTAATTACCTCTTCATATGTGTGAATTTTGTCCAAAGTCAACCTTCCGCTACTTGATAACACCCTGCTCCTTTTAGCAGCATCAGAAAGTAAATCATTCTCACGGTCTAGGTACCTAAAATATTTTGTTAAGTGTACTATATGGTAGTCTATAATAGTCTAGTTTTACTAATTCTAATACTGAAGCTCAAAAATCTTTAGGAATATTGTGTTCATAACGATAGTCAGTTGATCAAAAAGTTCAGTCAAAAAGCTAAAGTATTTGACGTTATGACTCCGCGTGGTTAACTTATTGATTAAATAAAATGTAGAGTCGTTTGTAGTGTTTGCACAGTAAATTAATTCACTTATAGAAAGTGCATTCATTTTGATATTAATAATTAAAGTTTCATCATGTGTATTATTATTAGTTTAAACATTTTTTTAATAACTCACTGATGTTATTTTGATAAAAGATTGAATAACATATTGTAAAATGTAATTTTTCTATTGATAACTTCTCGGTTTTGAATTCAGAGATAGTTAACAACCAGCCACATAACTGTTAAGCTTTAGTTAGAGGTCAAATTAATGCTTGCTTTTTATTAATGCTTAAAGCACAAAAGGAATATTTAAAGAAACACAGAATAAAAGAGAAAACGAAAAAGATAACATTAAAGTAAGTACAGGACTTTGCATCCGTAAGATCTCAGGGAAATGAATTAAGCGCTTCACTTGGCGTCTTTGTACAAATTAAATGAGCCTTTTGCTTAATTCACTTAATACCAGAAGAGCAACATTACCTCTCGAATTTAAACTAAGACACAGAATGATTTGCGCAGTTGGGACTGCTTCATATGGGAATCATTTTAGTATATAATATCTGGTAAAGCTTTATGTCATGGTTAATGGTTAGTAACTGTTGGATTTAATATTGTACATAAGGACTTACCCGAAGTCCTAATGTACGGTCTGTTCGGAATAAACTATCGCCTAGATGTAAATACTTACATAGAATCTATCTTTATACCCCAACTATTTCCCAACTGTACAGACACTACTCTGCAATTTGTTGTTAACTGCAGTCGTACTTTAAAGTTTTTAAAGCGAATTTAAACTATAAATAGTTTTCAATTAGTTTAATCGCGAGTTCTACTTTCGCATCGTATTTCAAGACGTCAAAATCAAGTTAAATGAGTTATTTATTTGTATCTGAATTTAAATTGAATAACGCCGTTCTGTGAAGAGTTTTATTATTTGTTTCTATCGTATTTTGCGTATTCACGGTTTACAGAGTCGGTATCTCGTCGGTCTTGGGATCAGCGCTGCCTGGGTCATCCAATTTATCAATCCTAACAAAAATCTATTAATTAAATCTTATATTTTTGTTGTTAAGCTTTGAAAACTAAATTTCAAAATGTCAACTAGATTTACAACTTTATAGAAATAATGCAAAATTTGTTAATAGAATAATAAGGAAAATGATAAATTGACAGATTGGTATGTGTAAGTTTGTACGAGTAAACGCAATAAGAGTTAGGTACTATCAAACTTCGTTTAAATTTTGTAAAATATAATATATTGTGTATGATAAACAGGATATGGATGTGATGAAGCTTAGATAAAAAAGTAACTTACCTAACCTTACTTACGAAAACCAACATTATTACTTACGGTTTAACATTTTCAACTTCAACGGTGTATGTAAGTCCGTTAAAAAGTAGTGTTGTCTCAACCAGCAGACGCAGTTGCTTAGCAACCAGCACTATAGCCTCATGACCCGGCGCCGCTCGCTGCCAGAAGTCCAAGTTGTTGTGGATCTCCAGGTTATGCAATATCTGTGCATGTTTCTCAGTTTTTACAGACACTCGGTAGACAGCATGGCTGGAAGAATAAATAAAATTTAAGTTTTATATAGTATATCAGTATTCTTGGAGCCATGTATTTTTTTTTGCGATAGAGGAGAGACAAGCATAGAATTCAATTGTTGCTAAGTGAAAAAGCCATCTAAACTATAAATAACATGCGATGGTGACCTATTATGGCTTTGGATATTCGGAAATAAACGGCTTTAATCTGTGGACGGTCGTTCGTGGCCGGGATGAACTTCGCTTTTCCCACCCTCCATCTAATAACCAGATATTCAGGTGAAGTTCTTTCTTTCAGAGAAAATATAAATTGACTAGTAACCCGTGATCCTCCATAAAAGCAATACCTTAGTTATTAAAGCAATCATTCGATTTTAATTACATATGTATATATTTTTATATTTTACCGGTGACATGACTTACCCATCATAGATTTCATATTTGGCTAAAACCGCGGTGAACAACATAAAAAACAGCGCGTATCGCAACATGATGGTGATATGCAAAATAGTGTGCACTAATCGAAAAAAAATAAAAAAGTCCCAATTATATACCTAATTAACAAAAAATGTTAATCTTAGATATCTTAATCCAGATTAATTGAAACGTGACCTCATTATAATAAATATAATTGAATTGATCATAGCACGTTATTACAATATAGTTTATACTTCACAGCTTTATCAGAAAAAAACGCGATTATGGAATGACAAACAAATTGATTGAAAACTGTCTGTTGTTCACGCGAGTATTACACATTTAAATAAAACACTTTAACGGTTTAAGACGCGATATATATTACTTAAACTTATTCGGAAATTATTTTAATTACGGCCTGACGTTTCGGCATATGTTGGTATTAAATTATACATTATATTAAAAACGTAGTGTAATTATATTTACTTAAGTTGTTTCACAGAAAGGTTCTGATAATTTTATTACGCGCTTTCTCGCATGATTCGGGGCATTTATCTTTAAAGCTCATACTTGAAGCTAGGAGTATTTTTGTCAATTTGTCGAACTTTCCTTTTTTCTCTGCACACCCCTATCAATGTTTATTTTTATTTAATCTTTTCTCTTTCTTCAAATCGTATGTGAAGATCAGCAGTTGACTGAGTTTGATTTGTCGTTTATAATATCGAATACTTCTCGGCTCGATTCAGACGCCTTAAACGGGTTGACGAATCGTATTAAGCGTTAATAAATGTATTAAAATATATCTCAAGTTGCTAGCGTAAAGTGGCGTATCTATTATGCTAGAAGTCGTATTAAGCGTGACCTTTTTAAACGCGTTCTACTGTGTTAACTTCGAGAAGTACAAAAAATTCGTAAACCCAAACAAGGGAAAGGATAAAAATGTATAATAGCGTCTAAGTAGGCGCATTTAAAATGTATGTTTGTGAAGCACTCCACACCGGCTCTCTACCATTGTTGACCCTTGCATAACGATGCACTTCGCTTTACAACCCGACTTTTATATTACACCACATACTAATGAGGGTACTATCTAAAATAGAATGCTTTGTTCGCTTATGGCGGTAGCCGACAGATATCTTGTTTCAATTTGAAATATTCTTACGGGGATAATATTTTAAAAGAGAATAATACATTTGAAAACATTAATACTTTTTACGCAAATCTATCATCATCTTTTTGAATGAAAATCGATTTAGATTTTAAAAAATTACGACACTGGCGGAATTTGAACCGGTCCCACAGTCAACATCAACAGTGCCCGTACTGCTGTTCTAGCCAATTGACCTACCGTGTCCTACACGTCATCGTCGATTTTTTTCAACCTATAGATTCGACTACATACACCACTTGCGCGGTAGCTAAACTGGTTAGCAGGAGCATGGAACGCTGTGGATGCCGGTTCAAGTCTTGACAGTAAACCACGTAAATAAATTGTTAAATGAAATACTAATACAAATGGTGTGTTCAGTGGTTCTGCTCGGCTATACCATTTACCACACTCCCCACGTGATACTTGCCCGACGTGGGCGTGAATTAGGCATTCACACAATCAGTTTTAAAAAAAGAAGGTAGCTTAGTACACTTATGAACGTCAAAACAGGTAAAAATCGGTATACGACCTAAATAATTATTTATACTATTTCTACTAATTATAATCAGTTTATAATAAAAAGCCTTATAAGTTAAAGTGTCTAGAGTACTTAAAATTTGTAAATGCATTCAAATAAATATTATTTTAATAGTAAAAACTACATGGAATCGATATTATTTCTTCCACATATAAGTTACAGTAAAATGGACGAATACTTATACTCGTATGGTCAGATTTAATTATATTAAATATGAAGTATACCTTTGTAAATAGTATATGCGCTTTGTTACCTAACTTGATCAAAAATCCAATTTTCACCACGTTGAAGGTGGAAACATTGTAATAATAGAATTCTAAAGCAGGAAAGCACTGGTAAGCCTTATTACACTTTAAACTTTTAAAAGTTGTGAAAAATAAAAAGGAAAACGGGCATTATAACAGGATATTAAACCATTAGCGCTTTCAAGAGTTTCCGAAGAAAACAATTCCTTCACTAAGGGCCTTTGGTACACCGTCGTGTAATGTCAGGTCACTGTGGTGCGTGACACAACATACCTACTGCAAAATCATGTTATGTTTTATTTCTTGATTTAGTATTATAGTTCGTGGTTCTAACATTGCAACAAACTTAAATATTTTTAGTGAGATAGTTTAGATTATGTTAGTAACGATAATCAATTTAAATAAAACACTTGAACGGTGTAAAACGCGATATATTAGTTAAATTTATTTAAAAACGATTTTTAACTTCAACCCGACGTTTCGGATGCTTTGCAGCAGCCGTGGTCACAGGGATCGCATCGGATGTCGCGTTTTAAACCGTTAAAGTGTTTTATTTAAATGTGTACTACTCGCGTAAACTATATACAGTATTTATGTTCAGATTGTAAATCAACATTAGCCCCGGTTTGGGTATAAGCCTCCTCCAAATATGCTAATTATTGTCGGGCTTGTGCTATGCAGGACCAGTCTATGCCATGTACTAAGCATAGAAAACAAAATCATGCGCACGTAAAAAGAAAAACTATTTATTCAGGACATTTTACATATATTGTATAGTCATACAAGATTGTTATTGAAATTAGTCAGTCAGCAAGTTAATTATTTTATATATTTTTAAATTTATATAAACTCACATGTCAGTTTGAAATAAGTTCATGATTTAAAAGTGTGTTGTATGTTAAAGGCTTGAATTTTTTTTTTAAAGCTCCAATGCGTGCTAGCTCGCCACGGTGTAATTGGCGGCCTATTTTATTCTCAACTCGTCTGCTATTTCTTCAAACGACATATTCATATTTAAATTTATGGCGAAACTTGGACTGGGCGGAGGAATAACTCAGACTATTGTAATAGTTTGTTAACTCGAAACTTTAACGTTTTGTAGTTCGTTTGAATAAAGGCTATATTCGAAAATGAGGAAGTTTTAATTCTCCCCGTGTTGTAAAGAGCATTTTGTTGCAAGAATTTCGATATAATTTGACACAGGAAGGGCTGACTTAACTTTGTTTACAGACTAATCAAACATATATTTATCTAAACTTTTATTTTTTGTTTATAAGAAATTAACAAGTTACTTGTAAATCTTGATCTACTTAGGTATCTAAATTGGTAAAATGAAAATCACTTGTAACTTTACATTATAGTTCTGGAGAATTTAATTTTATATTAGTAAAGGACGTCATCATGAGCCGAAAGATTACCATCACAAATAAAATATTAATAAATGAATTATGCAAACAAATAATATAAAATTACACACATTTTTAAAGTACAGCTAGATGTATATATAAATAAATGTAAAATATATAAAGGTGAGGTACCTCGAACAATCATTCTATATAAAATGACACGTGTTAAACATTTATTTGCATAGTGTTTGACGCAGTTTTACTACCTTTGTTTATTAAAAATAACTCTCGAATTGTTTCTTATCTACCGACATACCATTGATTAAAGTTCTTTCTAAATCGTTATTTTTACAAAATTATTTAATAAATTCACATTTTCATTCAAATATTATTGGACATAAAAAAGTTCAATTTTGATATTTAAATCTTAATGAACACAATAAATAGATGAAAAATATTGAATTAGTTTGAAGATGACTATTTTTAAGTTAAAGACATGTACTATGTAAGCTTTTATATACATATAAGTCTGCACCTCTCACACTAGACACCAGTCCCATAATAATAAGTAAATAATTATGTATTCACTATTATGACCGCATCCTTACTTCTAATAACTATAAAAACGCATCCTCGCATATGTTTTTCAAAAATGTTCATATTACTTCTAACCTTGTTCCATGCTGTCCACAGCATCTACGTCATTTCTCTGTACGGAGATGTGTACAATGACGTCGAGTTCTTCACAAAGACCTTCCCCTGGCTCGTGGACAACATAGGGGGGGATATCAGCGTCGACTACTACCTTTTGGGCAGTGGGAAGTACTCTGTGCCACAGATGTGTGCTTTGGAACAAATGAAAATGAATACGTTTTTGCAAGCACAGTATTTGAAGTGTGAAGCTGAAGGTAGATTTGTATATTATTTTTAGTAGACATATTTTTACAGAGAAACAGCACGGATCGCTAGCGATGTCGGTGCAAGTCCTGCCCGGCCGAGTTTGAAAATTTTTCAATTTATTTTCGATTTTTTTAAGACATATTTCTTTATTCTATGAAATTAAGGGTTTAAATACTGTTTTTTTTTTTCGGGGGTTTTTTTTTTTTTTTAAAAAAATTTTTTTTTTTTTGGGGGGGGGGGGGGGGGGGCCCCCCCCCCCGGGGGGGGGCCGGGGCCGGGGCCCGGGGGGGGGGGGGGGTTTTTTTTTTTTTTTTTTTTTTTTTTTTTTTTTTTTTTTTTTTTTTTTTTTTTTTTTTTTTTTTTTTTTTTTTTTTTTTTAAAGGGTTTATTTGGTGGTAAATTTATTGGGCTTGTGTGTTGATGTATGGTGATGGTAATTTTATAATGGTAGCAATGTACGGCTAATAATCAACGGGATGTGGATTCGATCCCCACCTGGTCCAACAGTTTTCTAATTAAATTTGAACTTTTTATGGAAATCTGGATTATTAAATGGGTGGTAGGAATATTGAAATGACGTCATTACTTAGGTCATTAACTAAAGTCCACAGATGAAAAAGCCGTAAAACTAATCACGTTTCGGGTTTCAGTCTGTGGATTTCCGTGGATATCCAAAGCCAAAATAGGTAGGTAGCGTATCTTGTTTAGATGCTATATGCTGGGGTATGTCACCTATCATTATGTGAACTCCATCTGTCTTACTTAATTACATACAGTTTTTAATACTCTTACTAACAGGAGATGCTGTTGACTGCCATAAACAACGCTTAACTACGCTACAACACCGCTGCAGGTTTTCTTCATGCTTGTGACATTTCCTAAAATTTCTCAAAATACTTCCTTAAACAGGTACGGACAGCGAATCATGCCTTTGCGAATCCGGTATTGACCCACATAAATACAGACACTGTGTCCTAACCAAAGGCTCCTACGCAAGTCTCGCATCAGCCAAATACAACCAACTCGGCATAGACGCAAGTCCCATTATAGAAGTGGGATACAAGAACACAGTTTTCGCAGTGGACGATAGCTGGTATTTGAAGAAGATTTGTACTGTATTCGGTGATAACCCACCCCGAGGCTGTGTTAGGCCGTTCGCGTGTAATTCGACTGAAGTTTTTAGTGAGAGACGGGGACTTACATACTTCGATTGCTCTTGCTACAATGAATGTGAGAAAAGAAATGAGTCTAAAACGACAACAGCAGTAAATACTTTTGAAAGGATGTCAACAACGCCTTATTTTTCTAAAGGCAAACATATTGAGGACGAATAAATTATTGTTTGGGGAATATCTGTTTTTCTTATATTCTTTGACGTAGTAAGTAAGTAAGTTTGTTAATTATTTTTACTATCGTTAAGAAGTCAGAAAAGTTATGAAAATCTCGTCTTTAACACGTATTGCTTGCTTATATGTTATTCAAATCAAAAGTTCTTGTTCGATCCAAAATTTTCACAGACAAAATCCGATACGTAGATAAAACAATTTCACGGGCGAACAATATTAACACAAAACCTGTTTAAACAACATATTTAGGGCGAAATTGTGTACCTCCGAACAGTGATCCTCTTCAAATAGACGACACAAAGTTGAAATTGAATAAAAACGAAACGTTTCCGTGTTTTATCCCCTAACTTCGGTCAATGGTGTAATTTGAGAGGTTTTTTTATCAGACGATACAGATGCTACACGATTTTAAATAAATTTATCAGTCAGTGTTAAGCGTTTTTCTTATTAGGTTTATTTATACAATGATTCGGATATATCGGATCAGGCATAGAAAATTAATGCAAAACTTTCGATGTTGTATTATTATTTTTACAAAATGTTTTAAGGAATGTCTCTACGTTCGAAGACTGGCTCAAATCGTTCAAATATACCCATGCACAATCTTTTAGATTAAAAGCTCATTATTTATATAATATTTCCATAGCATCCTGTAAATATAGCTATCCAAGGAAATAAAAAAAGAACAAGACAGTGCGATTTTAGTGCGAGATCTTATATCGTACGATGTGAAAATTGTCGTATGATGTAGAAACCACAGTGACGTAAATAATCGTAATTCCGAGGCCGAGTCCCACTATTCGTAGCAATGTCGAATTGTGTCGGGAATCGACGCTTTTCGTCGGCAAAACTTTGATTACTTTTTTCCTAACCGAACTTCTTCTGGCGTTACGTCCCAAATTACTTTTAAGAAGAGCAATAAGAGTAACAATGGCGTCTAAATACTCGTTTCTTACGAAAATATACAAGGAATTTGTTTAAATTATTAAACATAACATATGAATAAAATATACATTTAGAATCAGATATAAAAACTACCCCCTGTTGGTATGCGCTCACGCAACTTAAAAACTTAGTGAATCAACCGATGTTCCAAAATACGATTAAAATTTTTAATAAATTATATTCAAAAGGTGACAGTTATAAGACTTAATAAAAATGTGTACGCCCGACAGAATGTACAACTTAATATAAATTGAACTATTTAATCCATAAGAAAAGAAGAAGCCGTAACGCGTTACGTAACTAACCGCTTGTTACTTAATTCATTATAAATACTTAATTATAAAAACCATTAGAAGTTTTCTCTTCAATAATAAATAAACTGGTTGCTGTTCTGCATTCAAATCAACGATCTTATTTCACAAGTTACTATCAATATGGAAAACTCTAGAGTTTTATATTTAGGTTTCATTGTTGTTATAAAGCTCTTTCTATCAAGAGAGTATACGTGTGAATATACGTGAAAACAATTATGTTTTCGCGGGCTTCAAACCTACACGCGGCTAAGCGATGATCTTACGCTAGACAACGGTGCAACGAAGGAATGCATCGGTATGTCTACCATTATCATTTACATGTAAACGTGAACACAAAAGCATTTGCTAACAAACTTAGTTTGCAACTATTGTGTAAACATGTACATAGTCTTCGTTATGCACCGTGAGGTAATGTAGCGTCAGCAACTTAGTTTGCACTTTAATATGAACTTAGTTGTAGTTTAAATACGGTTTAAGTCAACAGACCAGGAAGTTATAATGATAATAAATGGAATTTCAGAAGTAAGGGGAAATAATCAAAATTGGTATTTCGTGCTACGAGAATGTTTAGACTGAATAAACTATGAAGTACTGATCTCGTATTAAAATAAAAATATTTAGGGAAACCTCACCTTCATGATTCCTATAGCTTCGTTTGTAATGTGGTTTTACTTGTATTTCGGCCAAACGAAGTGCACAGAAGAACCTCTGTTATCTACTACAATTAATATTTAATTACAGAATAGATATAAATTCAAGAAAAATTGAAAATTTTATTTAAAGTAATGTATTTTCATTCATGAAAAGTAAATTTCACTTATGAATGATTTCACTATAACAACCCATTTTCCTAGAAAAGTAGTAAAGGATTATTAATTAAAACATATTTACCTTATAAAATATTGTCTGAAGCGACATCTCTCATAGATTCGTTGAACCATATACATTATATTTATTCAATCAGCGCCATCTATGACAACCATCCAGAACTTACATATGCACTTCCATAAGTCTATGAACGTAGTTCCTCAAAACCGCGACATTTATTACTCCTATTGCTTAATTATTTAAAAAGTATACTCTCGTCTGACAAGTCGAGATATCTGTACTAAAAATACACTTAATTTTTTTTTTCATTGCTAATACAGTAAAAAATATTATTTTCGCCTTTGAAGCACACAATTAAATAGTTCCTACAACAAATTCATGATTCTTCTAATTGGCATTTAATTGAAAACTAGCTTAATAATTAATATTAGTCTATTATGAAGCAATTATAGGCAAGTGTCTATTTGTGATTGATAAAATTAATTTATTTAGTTTCGTCTCAATTATTTTTCATTTAATGTTAATAAACTAACGAGCGTTTAATAGTTACGACAGTATTTAATAATAATAATTTGAGAGAATTTTAACAAAAGTAATTTTTTTTTAAAGATATTTTAAAGTAATTTTTTTTTAAAGATATTTTAAAGATATTACTTTAAAGGTAGAAATTAAACTAAGACCTTTCTATATTATTTCATTTAAGAGGAGCATCGGTATAAATTTTTGTACTGTTTTATACTAACCTTGCTTTGTTTTTTTTTTATTTGTATTAACAACAGAGTGTTGAGTGTTGAGAGCAATGAAAGAAATAAGTACACTCATAGTCTTTATGTCGAATTGGTTCGTGGTATCTTTTCGTAGTTTTTTGACAGTAATATCTTATTTTAACAACAGGTTTTAATAACACAGTAAGTTGAATAAAAACTAAATAACATCGCATGATAGAATCTCAATTGAAACCACTTGAAATAGCAAAAAACTAATATAATTTATTTTTAAACACATGTAGGACGCATAAGCCGAAAAGATATCTATGTTGTTACTCTACTTTATATCCGAATAGTAAAGTAGAGTAACATCTAGTGATTAACTTTAATTACTAAAGAGATAATTGCCACTACTATTGTTACAAAAAGCGAAGTACTTGAGAGAACAGTGACAGTTCGCAAGATCGACTCGCGCGCATTGTACGCGCGGTCGAATTGAGTTAAACATATTTAAAATATAGTTTTGTGTAACATCAGCAACCTTGAGTGAGTGAATATGTTATTTAATATACGTGAAAAACGTTCTCATAATTTGAATTGTAATCTGAAACTGAATTCCTATAACTTTACTAGGTTCTTTGTGACTAAGAACCTACTTTTTTGATCTTAATCTATGTAGTGACAAGTTGTCCTATGTATCGTAGCAAACTATAGTTTTTTATGTTTTAGAATGTGTGTCAAACACGTTCTTTAATATAGTCATTTCACCAAAATACTACTTAAAGTTCAATTGGATATTTTTATTAAATTATTATTATCTCTCTTGTAATTGCTTACGAATTTTTGCGAATTACCGCCAGACTATTAAATAAGGTTTTTGACGAAGGTTCAAATGCCAGTATTCCTCGTGTCCTTTATAGAGGAAGTAGGATTCAACTAAAGAAACACAATATTTATTTAAAAAAATACAAGCAACTATGTTTATATTGAATAAGACTTTAAATATAATTAATTTTCAATGGCACCGTAAGGCCATAGAGAGAAATATTCAAAGTGTTTACGTCAAATATTCTACTTGTCTATCTCTTATGCATACTGCAATTGGCTTACCCAGTCGTAATGTATGGACGATGAGATATTTCGTATAAAGACACGTTCTTGTTTCTTGTTTTACGTGATTACGTGATTTTACGGATTTTATTATGCTCACGTAATGAGTTCCTCGATCCAGTGATAACTGCTGATGACGACTAAGCGTTCGACACGTAGAATTTAAGTGATTGAAATTTTATATACGTTTCGGTGGATTTAAAATTTTCTTAAGCCTAAATAGGACAAAAGCATAACTGTAAATCATGTTTATTTGAATAAGCGTATGTATCTATTGTATAAATGTACAAATTGTAGACTGAAACAGGCTTTCAATTCATTTTTATATATATATTTTTTATATATATATATATATATATATTTCTAGGTAAAGAAAGCAAATATTCTAATGTAAACAAAACATACACTACATTTGTTAGTATTATAGTTTAAAAGATAGTTATAGTTCTTGTCTGGGCTATGAACCTGAACCCGGAAACTGATAGGCAGTTCTAATTAGTAGTGCAGCATTATTGAACGAAGTGAAATTCACATAAACTCATAAAATTGTTTAATAAAAAAGGAAATTATAAAACAATGTGTATTTTAGGCTAAAACTATTTTTTGTATTGTTACTACGATAAAAATACACCAAATTTAAATAAAAATATACTTACTTTCGTAGGTACGTTCTCAAATGTCTCTATAGTTCTTGGTTTTGAATCCCAAGGATGTTCAGGTACTAGTGTTTGAATTGGATAAAACACCGTCTTATTAGGAGCGAATTTTTGATGCAAGGTGGGTTCGACCACCACCGGGTCCAATATATTTCTAATTCAATATTTTTTTTTTCTAAAACGTCGAGCAATCTAGATATTAACTAGGTGTAGGTAGGAATATCAAAATTTCGTCCGGGATACGAACCAACGTCCACAGATAAACAAATCGGGAAACACATTCGGTCTCCATCTGTCGTTTTTAGTATACAAAAGCCAAAATTGGTCGATTTTAAAGGACTTGTCTGTCGTTCTTTACCATAAACAAAACTATACACTAGGTATATTTTGCACAGTTTATGAAGTCTACTAACGTCATTCTTAAGACGATCCATAATTTTGGTCACCGTAATTAATTTTGCATTAAATACTGTCTGTTTACGCGAGTAGTACACATTTAAATAAAACACTTTAACCACGGCTGCTGCAAAGCATCCGAAACGCCGGGCCGAAGTTAAAAATCATTTTCAAATAAATTTAACTAATATATCGCGTTTTAAACCGTTAAGGTGTTTTATTTTAATAATTTTGAATTGCTTATTATTTCAGCCTTCTTAAAGTCCTTTCCTTCCGATAGCATAGAACAACAGATAAACTCAGTCCTTAATAGCAAAAATAACACAATAACAACACGATAATTCTAGGTCATTAGATCACACGAGCTTAATAACTCACGCTACTATCACGTGTTGAACCGTTTTGAAGTAATTTTAACCGGATAAAATTCTTATGTAACTGTTATCTGCGTTCCTTTAAATAACATTATCTTATATAAACAAATGAGTTTCAAAAGCTATACAAACGTCTTGCTATAGTGATTTTACTGGGTGAAAGACAAGACCTCGCGTTATCTGGGTTTGAATCCTTGGAAATACATAAATTGGTATATATTATTGGTAGATGTATGTACAGATATTAGGAATCTCTTAACTTCATTGTATTTCAATGAAAAAGTTTCAGCGAAGTTTAAAGTGAGGGTATTTTGGTATTTTTCACTTTTAACTGTACCGTCTAAACGACTAAATCGACTTTAGCAAAAAATTCGAAGTAATAGTCCATTTGACGAGACCAATGCACGTATAATACTTATTAAAATGAAGTTCAAATATTAAGGGTGTCTATATGTATAATAGATTTAATTTGATTGTACGTACGTAAGGATTATATATCCTTAAAATCGCCAACTTTCCTGCTTTATTAAAGTGGAGTTGAAAGGCACTTTGGCCTAATTAATGGAATGATTTACAAAAATCTCGCTTTCATCAAATTACGGAAGTTTTTTGCTCAACTACTAGAGCTTGAGCTTAAAGGAAATGACGACGTTGTTATGGGTAGATCAAAATTTTAGTTAATTACCAACTTTAATAATGTACAACTTACTATGTTTGTAAGTGATACAAAACTTCAAGAGATTGTCCTATATTGTCCTAAAAATATGACATAGCTGGATCTCGAACCCGATGTGATCCTCCTCCTATGTAAAAATTATAATTATTAAAATCACAAAAGGACTACTCCTTTGGCAAATATTGATAAAATTGATGACGTACAGTGACACGATAGCTCAATTGGTTAGAGCAACAACATGGAACGTTGTGGATGACGGTTCTAGTCCAGTCCATGTAATTTTCCAACATAGGGTTTATAAAAAAGACAAAAAAAGACAATGACTTTAGGTCTTCTTTCGTTTATGAATTTACATTTGCTGTATTAGAAAAAAATATGTTTTTATTATTCTTAGTTTGTTTTCATTGTTTATCTTCGTCGCATTTTAGTATTATCTTTTATCTACAGACTGCAGAAAAGGTCGCTTAGAATGCATGTCCATATTTTATTAATGTAGTGCTTAAAGCTGAATATGAAGTAGTTTATTATTGTACTTTTGTACATTTTATATTAAATAAAATGCACATTAGTCTACAAGAATCGAGGCAATATTAAAATAAGATATTTAAAATTTAAACTTTAATAAGACTTTGATAGTCACCTCTCACTTTTATGTTATTTAAATGTCAACATTTAATGTCATTCAAGTTATTTTTTAAAAATTGATTTCTTTATTATATATTTGACGCGAATACGCCCAGTAATACAGTGTATTTTATTCTTCGTAGGGATTTATCACAAAATGATTCCTAACCTCATATCTATCTATACTAATATATAAAGGTAAAGAGTTTGTTTGTTTGAATGCGCTAATCTCAGGAACAACTGGTACGAATTGAAGAGTTATTTTTGTGTTAGGTAGTGCATTTATCGAGAAAGGCTATTTGCTATCACTATATGTCTATCTTTTAAGATTAACTGGCAAGAACGAAGGGACGTGACGCGATCGACGTCATGGGAAACAGCTCAAATTTATAGAGTTGAACAGGGGGTTCGCAAAAACAAAAAAAAAAATCAAAATAATTATTCTACGCGTACGAAGTCACTGACTCAGCTAGTTATATAATAAACCATGAAAATCGGTTAAGCCGTTATCGAGTTGTAACAAATTTGACTTGTTTGAAAACTTTATTATTTTTTACTGCACATGAAGGCACTATATAAGTCCTTCACGTACGAAGTCGGTAGCTCAATTGGTAGAGTAACAGCACGGAACGCTGACGATGCCGGTTCAAGTCCTGCCTGAGTCGAAAAATTTTTCAATTTATTTTAGATTTTAAAATTTGATTTGTTTTAATTACTGATTTTATTATTATTTACTAACTGTACTCTGGGGCACAATGGCTTTAATATTTTTCACACGATGGCATTATAATCTGTAATTTCGTCTTCAATGATTTTCTTAAGATGCAAAACATAAGACATTGAACCTTAATTAGGAAATGTGATGGTTGTAATTACATTGCGCGGGAGATGCAGGTATCTATATCTATAGGTTGAAAAAAATCGATGACGTTTAGGACACGGTAGCTCAATTGGTGAGAGCAACAATACGGAAGCTAAAAAATCTAGAATCGAAATCTAATTTACACTTTTAACTTCTTAAAACGCGAAAACATTATAACTTATATAGTATCTGTAGTTTACGTGAGTAGAACACACACGCGATATATTTTAGTTAACTAAAATATCGCGTTTTAAACCGTGAAAGTGTTTTATTAAAATATTATAATTTATTTTAACGGCGGCCAGAGATTTTATTGAAAACTACAGACCGTAGCTGTATGATAATTCTTTATTATTTGAGGGTCGAGTAAAAATATTACCAGTTGAACAATACACGGAAACTTCAGCAACCACACCTTTCACAATATTGCAAACTGGAATTAAAGGTGATTCGTGGTTGATCGACATTCACGTATCCATTTTGTCTGTTGTTAGGACATTATCGTGATTCGGTAATGGTATTAACAAATAACAAAAGAATTGAAAAGCGTACATTAAATTTTGCAAGAAATCAATTCAATTCAGTTCTTAATATAAATATGTTGCCGCGTCTGTAATCTAAGTAAACTTTAGTATTTTCATTGGTTTTAAATATTTGTATCGTGGTACTTAATTACTTCTATTGTAAATAAAAAACAAAAGAAAATGAAGAAATGTATTTACCTATTTTTAGTTAAATAATTGTACCTTAATTTTGAGATTGTGTTAGAAAATATTTAGACTGTAATTTATTAATATTGTACCTTATACATTAGTCTGTACCACACACCATGTTTGTTTTACGCACGTAGTGCCTAGCTTAAATAGGATATGCATCTGCATAAAGCAGTAAAGCTATCTAGCTTTACTCTTTATATTGTTAATACTATATATTCATACTAATGTAACGTAATAATTTTTTAAATAAGTTAAGACATGGTAAAAATATTATATAGGCAGGATTCAAACTCTTGAAGTTAGTTTTATTATTATTTTATTATTTATTATACCTAGTGGCATATTGCATACAAGTAAACAAAGGTCATAGTGCTCTAGATTTGTTACATATATTGCTAGCACACGTGGACAAAACGCAAACGAAAAATCTAATCAAACAGAACCAATTACGCCAAATGTAATGTAATATCTACGTAAAGGAAACTGTGCCATAATAACGCATATATATTTTTTTTTTCAGAAATGTTCCGCTTCATAATACTGTCCATTTTCGTAATTGGCTACACACAATGCAACATCATAGACCAGAATGATGATAATGAGTTACTTTTAGCGTTTGTGGTAAGCTATTTTAATTTGATGAATTTTGAAAAACAGGCCTACATTGATAGGTATTCATAACAATTCATTTGACCTGCAACTGAATTGTCAATATAAAGAATATTTTTGATCATTTACATAAAGAAATTTTAACAGTTTTAAACGCGAAATATATTACTTAACTTTTTTTTACTTTCTTTCACTATGGCCCGACGTTTGGGATGCTTTGTGTTTTCCTCATCGGTATTTTAAACAATTTCATTCTGTATCAAACACATTGTACGAGGAATTCACGTCTTATTTACTTCAGCTGAAAAAGTAAAAGTGAATTTCACTGATAGTTTTAAGAAATACTGAAAACTGTTAGTGTAATTATTTTTTAAGACACGGCGTGGTCGTGTTCTAACTAAATATCATAATACAAGGTAACACGAATTGTATATATTTTTTCCTTTTACTTCAAGGTTAACAGACACGGCGAGAGAACACCGGATTCTGATGAGTTGTCTCTGTCAAATGAACCGGAAAGGATAAAGAAGCTGATATACATTGAAGGATTGGAAGGATTAACTAATGTACGTATATACGTAACGTATGTGTAACTATTGTGATATAATTCCTTAGAGAGAAGTAGCTGAAGAAAAGGATGACGTGTAGGACATGGTAGCTCAATTGGTTAAAGCACCAGCACGGAACGCTGTGGATGTCGGTTTATGTCCTGTCCGTGTCGTATTTTTTTTCAATTTTCATTTATATAAATAAGTAAATAATATGTTATGGTAAAGAACTCTGAAATGGAGCAGGACGTCGAGCGACGTGTTTATGTACGTTCGCCGTGTCGTTAAATTTATTTAAGCGACGCAGTAGCTCAATTGGTTAAAGTCGTAATATAACATAATTATAATTTCCAATACTACACGTAAATGACGTTAGCTCAATTCTTAACGCTTTTTAGTATGAATGAAGCTTGAAGTATAGTCGATATTATCTCGAGTTTTCTTCCGATACCATGCCAAAAGAACCAGCTACATATAATATAAAACTAGTAAAATTTAAAAGGCAATGCTATTTGAGTGAAGGCGTAGACGCGAGTTAAATGTGCCGCAAAACCACAACAATATCGTGTTTTGAGTCCAGATTAGGTTTCAAAGTGAATCGGCTATTGCTTTATAGATCGACTCAATATTGACTCACACGAGACCTCGTTTGGGCCAGGGGTACATAGAATTAACGTTAGGTTTCTGTTATATTTAAAAAAGGAACATGATATATAGAAATTACTAAGTTTTAAACACTTGCATGTGTACTTAGAATAGTCATAAAATTAATGTGTTAAAGGTTTGTATTCAGTTCAGAACAGATACAAAGTATTTACTATTTCGACGGGCACGTTTCTGTTGATGCTTAGTTAACAATCAATGGGCCGCGGGTTCGATCCTCAAGTGGTCCTACATTTTTCTAATCGATTCACAATTTTTCTGAATGTTGGATTTCGTCTGGAAATATGGATGTTAAATTGTTAGTAGGAATTCCGTCCTTGTCACAAACCACTGTTGATGAAAACACTGTCAACTTAATTCAAGGTTTCAGTCTGTGAATTTCCAAATATCCAAAGCTGAAATAGGTCAACAGCGCATAAGGCTGGAGAATTTTACCTACCATCGTGAAACTCATGTTTTTTGCCCTCCTCCATAATAAATAAAACTGAAAACAAAGTTCTTGAATAAAATAATATCATTTATAAAAGCGCCGTCACAAAACACTCAAAGCCTTAATTGTATAAAAACACGAGGTTTAAATTGTTGGAGGTAGGTGAAAACCTCTATTACTATATTTTGTACTGTGTCCAAGGAGACATAGATAGAGTTTTGAATAAACTATCAATAACATTAAAAAAATAAAATATTTTTAGTTAATAAAAAAGGGTTTATTTATGAATTAAGAATCATGGTATTTTATATAATTATCTTTATAGTATGTAATAATAAAAAAACACACCTACTTTACTTTATTTATATATTAAACAAAAAATATAATCTCAGTCCGTCCATAACCTGATTTTTGACATTGAAGCTTAAAAAATAATAGTTCAACACACTTGATAACCTGTTTTTGCGATAATGCTACACGTGAATACTGTTTTTATACAGTGTATATGAGATAAGGTTTTTTAATTGTCCTATATTTGAGAGTTTTATTTATTAATAATAGGACAAATAACACTTTTATTAAACGATATTTTTATCAACATAAATACTAAAATAAAGACATAATAGAGAATTATAATCTAATATTTATGAAACACTATTAACGGTTTAATACACAAAATATCTTATTTAATTATGCTTTCCAACCAAACAGCTCCATGAACCCTTTTTAATAAGGCGAAAAGTGTTTTTATTTACGTGTAGGTACCACACGCATAATATACTACAGACAATGTTTACACCCATTCTTATCAAGATAGTCTGATAACCCAATTTAATAATTGTCGAGGAGATATCTATTTTGTTATGTTTGTTTTAGGTGGGAAAGCGAAGGGCGTACCAAGTAGGAAAATTCGTTCGTCAAAGGTACGGTTCAGAAGGCTACGGACTACTTTCGAGGCTGTATCTTAAAGATGAGTTAATGCTAAGGAGCACGGATAAGGAAAGGACAAAAATGACAGCACAGCTGGCTATGGCTGCCCTTTATCCACCAGAAGAGGACCAGCAGTGGGATGATGGGTTGGGAAAGGTTTGGCAACCGGTGCCATACACAGCAGTACCATTAAAGGAAGATTATGTAAGTGAAGAGTAGGTTCTTCATTTTGCAGTTTGTTTACCATTTGGCATCTAAATTAGGCCATAACAAAGGAGGAGGACAATCTTTTTATAAGAAGGTCTCACTTCAACACACTTCCTATTTGTAAAATACTGTCTGTAGTTTACGAGAGTAGTACACATTTAAATAAAACACTTTAACGAGTTAAAACGCGTAAAATATATATTATAGTCCCAGCCGAATTAATCATAATAGTCGTTAAATATAAATTGTTACCCGCTGTGACCGAATGTCGCCTGTTCAACTACTCGCCTGTTAATAAAACCGATCAGTGAAACGGACACAGGAATGTGTCCGCCCTATGCCCCACGAGGGGAAACGATTTCACTTTTTAACACAAGTATGAAAAATAAAAGTCATACTTCTTATTTTTCCAATTAAATAATAAATATGACGAACAGAATGATACGTTTTCAGCTTCGTTACTATTCCAACTGCAAACGATTCCAAGATCTTATGGCCATTGCAAAAGCGGAGTCTCTCAACCAGGAATTCAAACCTTACACAGAACTGTTCAGACTGGTGAATATAACAACTGGCAGGGATTTCTCTCAGGATCCACTCCTATTTGAGACCCTGTTCGATTTGTTTAAGAGTCAGGTAAGTTATACTTAACAATGTAATTTAAAAAAGAGGGTTGTCAAAAATAATAAAGGACAATTATTAAGTTTCTATTTTATATAATTATTCTTTTCAGGTAAGCTTAGGCCTTGACATTCCCTCCTGGGCCAAACTTGTTCTGCCGAAGCTTGGGGAGACAGCAAGATTGGCGTATAGACTTTACTTCAGAACCGATGAAATGAAACGACTTGGTGGAGGTAAATAAAATACTTTTATGCTCTAAACCAGTTTCTTTATAACACTATCACTACTATAGACACTATATCATTTAAAACTCGAGTTATGGAAATTGGATTGGAATTCTTAATTTATAATTTATTTAGTTCCAACATTTGCAAAAACATATTAAAGTTTTCAAGTACTATAGACACGTTACAGAAGAATTTCAGTCTAGAAACAACAATAAACTAGATCATGAGAGATGCTTACAATGTTTTCTAGGTGTCATCTTGAACGACTTCATCCAAGCAGCATCAGACATAATAGCTGGAAAGGAAGTCACCAAACGTGTCCGTCTCTACTCTGCTCACGATTTCAACATAGGCTCTTTAATGGAAGTCAGCGGAGTGTCCCGTCATGAGCAGCCAGTACCAGAATACGGAGCAGTATTTGCGCTGGAACTGTTCAAGTCTAAGAGTACAGGAGAGATTACTGTATTGGTTAGTGTTACTAGGCTGCTTATATCAAGAATCATATTATAATCCTTCGAGCAATCGAGGAGTTAACATCTCCTGATGATGCCGTCCACACGTGATGGCTAAACGTCCTGAACCTCTTCTCGCTCACGTCCGGCGAACAGCCCGAAAGATATGCTGAACGATGGCCGTGAAAGCCTTACACAATTTATTAATCAAAGATTGATTATTATCAAGCTAATTGTTTTCCATAACAAAACAATGCTCTCCGACCTCTCAATGTTAAATAACAAAGTAGAGAAGATAAAAAGAAAAATAAGTGCGCATCTTACGCGAATTAAACATGAATGAAATTCTCTCATTCGCTCGATATATAAAATGCATGGAATTTTATTGTGATAGTACCGTTTTAAAGCTAAATTTCTCAAAGTGTCGAGAGCCATTTTTCCTTTTTCATAATAAAAAATACTCTCGCTTTATAGTTTTTTTGCGAGTATTTGTTTTGTGGATTTTATAAAAAAATATTTACGTGGAAACTAGGAATACTGGAATATTGTAGACATGTGAGACATTGTGGCACATTTGTTTAGAGTAGTAGCACCGAACGCCGATTCAAGTCCCGCCCCTGTCACTGATTTTTTTTTATCTTAAATTAACCTATTTACACTTATACCTAGCTTCAAAGAAGTTTATTTAAATAAATGAATTCTGAATTTGGTTGCAATAAAGTGACACCTATGTTTTCAGCCAATCTACGTGGCAAAAGCAGGCGAATCGTCCCTCCAAAAGCTTCATTTCAAGGATTGCGAGGCGCATAGTAACTACTGCCATTTCGATAAGTTCAAAAACATGACTCGCCAGTATCTTCTGCCGGAGAAGGAGTTCTACAACACGTGCAACATAAAGACTGAACTGTGATATTAGGACTAGAATAGGAAAGTAATTTAACCGTGAAACAATTTAACGGATCAAAACGTCACATTAATACATTAATACTTTTAACGGTTTAAAACGCTTAATGTATTAGTCGACCTATTTACAACGTAGGGCCGATGTTTCGGATGCTTTTCAGCAGGCGTGGTCACGGGGGGTATCGTTAAAATAATTATATGCAGTACATTTGGCGTTTTAAACCATTAAAGCTGTTTTATTGAATGTATACGCGTAAACTAAGACACCAGACGCTCAGTTTTAATCCGTTAAATTTGTTACATGTTGTGTACATACTACGCAAAATCTCTACTTAAAGTAATAAAAAATTTACGACACGTCACTACTGCATTAAGTGTATATGAAATGTTAACCATTTTATACTAAAACGCCTGCTCATTTACAAAGAGCAATGTTTTAGTCATTACACTAGCAGCAGGTAAAGTTTAAATAATATTTTTTCCTATTAAAACTATATTATTTTAAGGTTCGCGTAAAGTTCTAGCTGTGATAAAAATGTAATTAAAGTTACATATACTTTTTACTTCACTCACGAATTATTGGAAATAATAGACGGATATCTCTTTGAATTGTAATCTGGTAGGGTAAAACATTATGTATTATGTAGAAATATAATATTATTCTTAATCTATGTATGTTCGATATTCGATAATATCTTTTTTTTAATGTGCCAGAGCTTTTAGTACTTAAATAAAGTTTATATTTTATTTTAAACGTTCTTATTTTTATGTTTGCATGTAAAAAGTATTGGATACTAGCTGTGCCCGCGATTTCGTTCGCATGGAATAGAGACTTAGGAGTAGACTTTTTAATTATTTAAGCTGTTTATGTATATATTTATGTTTAATTTATGTATATGTATTAATTTATGTCATTGCGCATTAATCGCAGCCAATCTATGTTGTAAGTGCTACTTTGCCGCAACACTCTCACCTCACATGACTCCTACTCTAACTCTCACTCCCACCCCCACCCCCACTTCCACTCCTATTCCCAAAAAGCCAAAGAAGAAAGTTTCATTGTTCTAGCTTCAAAAACCACGAATTTACATACAAACTTTCATCCCTCCTTTTAACCCCTTACAACCATATTCGCAATAAAAAGTAAAGCCTATGTACTTTCTCAGGGTCTAAACCATCTGTGTACCAAATTTCATTCAAATCCGTTCGGTAGTTTTGGCGTGAAAAAGTAACAGACAGACTGACAGAAAGACAGACAGAGTACTTTCCCATTTATAATATTAGTAAGGATGGTACTGGTTAAGAATATTCGAGCTTAAATATACGACATAATATGAAGTTGAGAGATACGGGATATAAATCAGTTTCTAAACAATAATGTTAGGAACTTTTACGCTTAAGTGTGTTCCTCAAAACGTTTTCCCCCCAAACCCCATTTCGCGAACACTCAATGCGTGGTGATTTATCGTCTAAGGGGTAACGCTTTTCAATTTAATTTCAATGGCCCAGCTTCTTTGTGTTTATTAGAAAATTATATCATCATTTTCCGAAATTCATCTATCTATTGAAAGTAGCCGACTGTTTCAAAGTGGGTTCGCTTACTTATTAATATACAAATGTTTTGCATTTAATCAGCTTTAAAGTACAAGTACTTATAGGGGCTGCGTAATGTAGGTATGTATATAAAATTGTTTGAAAAAAAAATTCAAGTGGTTCAATTAGTTAGAGCTACAACACGGAACGCTGTGGATGCCGCTTCGAGTTCTGTCCGTGTCGAAATTTTTTTCAATCTAAAATCGATTTTTAATGAAGAAAAAAACCTGTCGTATTTAATATAAATAATAATAAAATTACTATTTTTAGCTATAAAACAATGCAATATATGTATAACAATCGTAAACAAAAATTATAGCCATAACTCAATAGCACTAATAAACATTACAAAGAATTGAGAAGACGAAGTTTTATTTATATTTTTTTAAACTACGAAGCAGACTTTCGTCTCAATAATATTGTAATTAAACTTCTTTATCGTAAGCATTTGAATTTTCAATAAACACGTTAAACAATAAGATACAAAAGAGGGTTAGAAAAACAGATAAGAATTACAGTAAAATGGAATTATCATTAATTAAATCCAACGTTGCAGATACGTTTCATTAGAAAATGCAACAGATGGAGCGGTTGCGGTTTGTTTAAATATAATAGTTAAGCTTGTATTAAAGATCGTATACGGTTTTTTTTTCAAGGTTTTCTCGAGCCAGATTAAAATTGGCTCACAAACTTGCTAAGTAAAATGTAATTTAATATACTACCGAGACTATGAAAATTAAAAATACCCACTTTTATTGACATTTTCTAAGTGATTTACGAGAACTCTAAGAAGCACTGGGGTATTGTAGAACTTTTTGGTTCTTATTTAGCTTCAGTTCCAGATAAATTAAACTTAAATTTACCCTAACTTGACGAGGAAAAGTACCGTACTGTAATCCACCAAGACTACAATCCTCTTTCGTTTTTTTTCTGATACTAGAAGGGTGACCAGCATGATAAAACAAATCTACTACCTTCATTTTTTGAAGATAGAAAAGCATGCGTTTTATTGATGGAAGTACCCTCGCCATATAACATCAGAACAATATGTGCTGTCGTCCTTTTTTGGCTTTAGATTTTTTGGAAATCCACAGGCTGAAACCAAAACGCGGTAAAAATTTACGGATTTTTTATCTGATCCGGTGATTATTACCATACATTGCTATCATTAGACCAAGCCGAGAATACCGAGCAGGCCGGCAGAATCCCATCATTGTAGTAATATCCAGAAAAAAACAGTTAATTAACTAAATTGATATTTTTTGACCAATATTAAACGAAAGTATTTATAATTATTTTAATTTTACTCTATTAATCGTAGACCACCTGCGCAGTTCCCTAATTTTTTCCGGTGGCTCAATTCGGAAATCGTCCAGCAATTTAGAATTTAAATTGGGACATAAAGTTATACTTTAATGGTGGTCATACCTATTATTTTAATCTGAAGCCATTCTAGACAAAGATAGCGTAACAAATAGCACTTAACCGACTGGCCCAAAACGAAACGAGGGTAATGTGTTTTGTACTCACCTACATTATAATACTGCAATCAAAATTTGATTCACAAAAACTACTATATCTATTTATAAATAAAAAACTATTTCCCCGTATAGTCACAGGCAAGTAGTTAATCATTTATTATGCTTTCCTGGGACTCGAACCCAAAACCGTATTTAATGAGCCGTGCAACCATTGAGCCTTGAAGGCGGTCATGGTGATATTGTTAGAATAGATGGCTATTAAATTTTCAATAAAATGTATGTTTAAAATATAAGGATTTGTACAGATTGTTGAAAATTTCACGAACTACGTAAGAAATAGAACAGTTTTCGTTACTGCATTTGGCGCGGGTACAGCGTCCGTGCTTCTAACCATAACAAAAAGGCGATTAACCTTATATTTACACGTTACAACACGACCCGAACCATTATTTTAAACTCGAAGTACAAACAAAACTCGCGTCAACAGTTAAATCTCAAGTCTCAGACCTCAAAACAAAAGTTTTTTTTACTTATGTTTATAGTTCAAAAAGTTTGAGCTTCACTCAATATTATCCGGCTAAGTTAAAGAGCATCGCGGTTGTAATAAAGGAGCAGCGAGCTAGCACCATTCATTTCTGCCGGGTTATTCGCGTTTGACAACTGTTCAGTTTCGTTTTAGCCGTGCTGTAGGGCTATTGTGTTGCGCGTATCGGTTGCAAAACTTTTATGTACCCGATGAAGTAGTTAAGTGAAATAAATCGACTCGAGTTTCGAATGATCTAGGGAAATACAGTGTTGTACGGTGTGCTGTGTTAGTTTTTAAGATAATTTGAGTGGAATTGTGCTGTTCGGTGATTCATCTCGGAACAAGATTGTTGTGTGTCACACATAGGTATAATACGTGTGTTGGAATTTTAGTTGAAACTGCAAAGGAAATGTGTGTACGTTGATTTTTTTGGAGTCTGCTTGCTCAGGATTGCTTGCAACGGAAATAAGGTAAGTTACACAATTTATACAAACAAGTTAGTAGCTATATTGCTATCTTTATTGCACTTATAGAGCGTGCATGGTCAATTAAACTGACATGTTACTTTGGAATACCCAATAAAAAGTACTTACTCAAGTTAGCATAGTCGCTTTATACATCAAGTTAGAATTGTTTTTATGTACTATATTATTAATGATTATACCGATGATGCTATTTTATTGATTTATGTCGTCGTCATGCAAAGAGGTTCCACTTCGTTAGCATCGATTGAGTTTTCATGTATCTATACAAAATATGTCTTATTCTATAGAAGAAGTCTAAAAGATATATATGGTGTCTGTGTAAATGCCAATTGTTTCAAGTATAATTCTAATTTTAAATTTGGTTTCTTCGCGCCATTTTATTTAAATACTCAGTTGATATTGTGCACATTCTAAAATGTAGAGATTCTTAAGCGCTTGATAAATTTGACATGCCACTCTCGTACTACTAATAAAGTTACCTACATGCCCAACAGTTAAGTGTAAAAGGAGGTAGATAGGAAGGACGTTTCATTTACATTTTAATTGAATCACCACACATTGGATATATTATATTACCCCATAGGTTATACACCTATTTTTTAAGTCACTTTGATTTTACGCAAAATGATAAATTAATGATTGGGGGGGGGGGATGGCGAAATAAAATCTGTATCGCAGTAACATTGTGGTGCACAACTAGTTAGGTAAGTATACTGCATACACAAAAATAAAACTCATAAGTTTCTTCAAGTCTCTCACAAAGAACTAACCCATTTTGCTTACAGAACAGTAAGACAAAACACTATTTATTGTAAAGCAAATAGAAACAAAGGCGACGCTATCTTTTATTTTTGTTTAAATATTAAAGGCCATTCTTGCGGTAATAACAATCTTTTGTTTCGTGTTCCTTTTTCTTCGGCGA